GACAGCAAGCAAGATAATAAGTAAAAGCTATGATAAGTGTTAAAAATAAGAATAAAACAGAAAAGGAACTGGGGCATGGTTTTCGTTTTAGATAGTGTGGCCAGGGGGTTCCGTTTTAGAAGGTTTTTCATTTTAGATACTGAGCACAGGGTCAGAACCTGAATGAAGCAGGGAGTAAACCACTCCTAGATCTGGGCGGAGTACATTCCAGGTCATTGAAACTGCAGACTCTCAGGCCCTGAAGCGGGAACGTGCCACACGTGCGGGAGGAGCTGTGAGGAGGCCACATTGGGAGCAGAGGGAGCGAGGGTGGGAAGTAGCAGGAGATGAGGTCAGAGAGAGGAAAGCAGATGGTCAGATGTTCAGGGCTCTGTAGGTCATCACAAGGGCTTAGCCTCACATCAGAAGCCTTTGGAGAATTCTGAGCAAGCCTTGCACGATCCGACTTCTGTTTTAAGAAGATCACTTTGACTTCTGTCTATTATTGATAGAAAGGATGGGGGCAAGGGTGGAAGCAGGGAGACCACTGGAGAGGCTACAGCGGTGACCCATACGAGTAAGAAGGGCAGCTTCTGGCCTGGACGGAGATGGCGAGACATGTTCAGGTTCTGGATGGACCTTGCAGATAGGGACAGTGGTATTTGCTGACACACTGGCTGTGTGTGGGTCATGAGAGGAGTCAAGGGTGACCTCAGGCTTTTACCCTGAGCAACTAGAAAATCGGAAGAATAGGAAGACTATAAGAATAGGTTTGTATTGGACCGTCAGGAGCTCAGTTTTAGATCTGCTCTTACCACATCGTATTATAATTTCCCATTCATATGTCTGTCTCTTCTTCCAGACTATGAATTCCACGAGGACAGGGTTTTGACTCACCTCTTTGTCCCCAGCAGCAGGCACAGGGCCTAACCCACACTAACTGAATAAATATTGGGTTGAAAAGGGGATGACAGGAAGTGAGTGGCTGGACAAATGGATTGATGAGTGGATACAGGTAGATGAAAGGAAACGGATGGATTGTGGAAATGAGGAAAAGAAGACGGAGCGAGGAAAGGACTCGGCGCGGATTCTCGTAGCCTTGCTTACCTTGGGCAAGTTTCTTCACTTCTGGGAGCCTCACTCCCCTCGCCTGTCAAATGGTCACCATCCTGTTTCTCTCACAGAATGGCGATGGATCCACCGAGATTGTGAATTCGAAAGCATTTTTTTTTTTTTTTTAACTATAGTGACATAGGGTCATGGCGATGGATCCACTGAGATCGTGAATTCGAAAGCATTTTCTTTTTTAAACTGTAGTGACATAGGGTAGCGTGGTTCCCTCCCCTTGGCAAATCGTGTCCTCTCTTATGGTTTCTCACCTTGCTCTATGGAATAAACCAAACGTGACATGTAAGAAGGAAAGATGTGGTGCTCACGCAGCTTCCTCTAGACCGGGGAGGAAGTCGTTCGTTCTATCATAGAGCACATGGTGGTGGTCAGGAAAGCAGCTCCCCCAGGCCATGTCGAAACGCAAGCGCGGCATCGCTGCACGTACAGCCGTCTCAGACACTGAAATCTGTGCTTCCTGCAAACCGTCCCCATGGTTCCTTGGTCCCCTGGCCTTCTGCTTTGCTCTGAAAATGATAGTACAAAAAATGACATGAATCGGTCACAGCGTGCACGAGAATCTCCTTGGCCTCTCCAACTTAGTGAATTTTATTATTCCTGTCTGTCTCTCTTGATATATTTTTTAAAATTATTTCTAATTACAACAGTAACACATATTCATTGTAAAAAAAAAAAGTTCTAACTACATAGGAGGCTTTAACATAGAACTTGAAAGTCTCTCATTATACAGACCTGATATATATGGCTTAGTATTGATAAGTGACTTTTTATCCAATTTCCTTTTTTAAAAAGAAGTATATATGCAGTGTGTGTATGTGTGTTTATGTGTGTGTGTGTGTGTGTGTGTGTGTGTGTGTGGTTTGTGAATAAAAGGTTATACGCCAAAATTTTGCTTATGTTTTTCTGAGAGTAATGTGATTAAGAAGAATTTTTACTTTCTTCTTTTTAACTTACCTACTTTTCCTGGGTTGTAAAAAGTGAGCATGTATTACATAGGAAATAGGGTAATCGTTATTTTAAACAACAGAGAATTTATAATTATTAAGTTATTTCAAATTTGTTTTGGATAGACATTAATCGTACTATGGTTTTAATGAATATAAATTTTCCTTTTGCTTTATTTGTTATTTAGTTCTAACCAAGATTGACAACTATACTCTGCTGGATTTTTCCCTGCTCAATGCTCCAGAAATTACTGAGAACAACATTGACCTGGACTTGAAGGTAACCTTATCATCGAGTCCTCACCCTGGCTATCAACAGCCAGTGCACTCGTCCCTCTGTATCTGTGGGGAATTGGTTCCTGAACCCCCATGAATACCAAAACCCACAGATGCTCAACCCCTTATATAAAATGGCCTAGTATTTGCATATAACCTATGCACACCCTCTTGTCTACTTTAAATCATCTCTAGATTGCTTATAATACCTCATACGATGTAAATGTTATATACTTAGTTGTTATACTGTACTGTTTAGGGAATAATGACAAGAAAAACAGTCTGTACATGCTCAGTACAAACAAAACTATCATAGACCTAAGTAATAGTGCATATCAGCAAAAGCAGAAATTTTTTTCGAATATTTTCGACCCACAATTGGTTAAATCCTCAGACACGAAACCTGTAAATTAAGAGGGCCGACTGTGTTTGGAGAACAAATATTACGTGCAAAGAAAATATACCTACATGCTCTTCAAATAATTTAATTTCCTTCCGAGCAACTCCCTCGTGTTTATGCTCTTTCAAAAAGACTCTTGAACGTTTTTGTAATTAGTAAAAGATTGTTTGAGTTGCACAACGTATGTCTGCACTTAGTAGAACTTCACATGTCAGTGATTGTACATATTGATACTCATATCTCTAACTCTCAGGTTAGTCAATTTAACTCAGGGCTACTGACCTTGGTTGGAGCTGTCAGTACGTGAAAATGGTGTTTGCTGGTTCTAGAAAAGTGATTAACTGCCCTTACCTTTAGTTTTATCCCAAAGTTAATGTCATTGTTTTTAAAAATGCATATTAACATATTTCGATTACTCGATCATTCAAATTAGTTACATATTAACACAAGACACCGTTTTGGAATAACGACCTATAGCTAATGGGAGCAGCATTGGAAATGCCACAAAAACGCTTTCAACTATTCCAAGTCCTGGGTCCTTCTTAGTTTTTCTCTGACACCCCAAATGCTCAGCTCTCACAGATTTTGAAGGGCAAGGGTTTGACATCTCTACCTGGCACCTCAGGCACTATTCAGAGCTGTCACCTCCAGCTAAATAAACCTGCCTTCCTTTCTCAGAGAAAAGGGCTGTTAAGGAACTTCTCACTGGGTTAAAGCCTAGGGTGGACAGCCATGCCCAGATATATACTCGAGAAGCCATCAGAGCTTTGAAACATAGCCACTAGTCAAGGAGTCAGAAGGACTTCCCCTTTTTTCTTCCCTATTGAGTTTCTGGAGTTTTCCCTATTCTGACTTGAGAGGGTCCACCTTCTTCGGTCCTGCACATTTGAGTTTTTACCTGATTCACTGGTTTCTCTGTCTTCCCACAGGGCGTATTCTACCCACTGGAAAACCTCACCGACCCCCCCTTCCCCCCAGTGCCCTTCATGCTTCCAGAACGCAGTGACTCTATGCTCTACGTTGGAATCTCCGAGTATTTCTTTAAATCTGCGTCCTTTGCTTATTTTACAGCTGGGGCTTTCAATGTCACTCTCTCCACAAAAGAGGTGAGGAGATTTAATGGATGATGACAATTGGCACCAATATTTAATCTTATATAAGTATCCCATTATGGGGTTTTTTAATGTCTTAGTTTCTATTCCTGGGCCTCCGTAGACTATCACTCCGAGGAGGACGGCGAATGGAGTTGTTAAATGAGTGTTATTAGTTGGGGAGTTTCCAGTCCTTCTAATTTCAGTCTTTCGTGATACTGGGTTACTATTCTAGATTGCTCTTAAATAGTGCCATCACTTATTACATGTGACCTTGGGCAATTTCAATTTATTCTCTGTGCCAGACTTTGCGTATTTGAAAAATGGGAATTATAATAATTCTTTATGTATAGGGTTGATACGGACTTTAAAGAGGTTTAAATAATGTAAAGTTTTCAGACCAATGCCAGGCACAGAGTAAGTGCTCTGTAAGAGTTGCTGATTATCGTTATTTTTCCTTGCGTTATGCCAATGTAAAGATCTCCTCTGTTAGTAATTGCAACTGACTTATCCGCAATTACCAGTAATAGTACAGATATTCGTTGATTCTCTTTGCCATGCCCCTCCCTTTTATAATCAGAAAACTCTTTCCAGCCAGTCAACCAACAACTTGTATTGAGCATCTTTTTTGAATCCTTTCATACTGTCGGTCTTAATTATATGTGTAGTTATAAACCTTATGTTCAAAATGCTAAGTGTGACAGCACCAGCTTCCATGCAGTGCTAAGAATTCGACACTTCAAGACTTGAAAACCATCCATATGTGCAGATAAATTACTTAAGCATTCTATGTCTCAGTAATCTCTGAAAATAAGGACAAGAACACAAGGCTTGTGGTTAACCACCATAGAATGTTTACACATAGATCATACATATGTGATATACACAGTGTTCCCGAGATAAAAGGCTCTTACCCCAAAGGAACATAACTTCCTGTGTGACCTTGGGCAAGTTGCTTTACTTCTCTTGACCTCAGATTTCCTATGGTTGGGCTATAAAATGACAGGTCAACTGCAAACACTAAAAGTGTTTTGGTACAAATAGCTTCATGATTCATAAAAATTGTAGGGAATGCTACATTTTTCCTGAAAAGACAACCCAGGTTAAAAACCTTACAGTGACATGATGGTCTTGATTTTCCAGATTTCCAGCCACTTGGTTCAAAACTCTCAAGGCATTGGCAACGTGCTCTCCCGGGTAAGACCTCAGGATTTGACTCCTGGATAGTGTATTTGGTTTTGTTGGAATTACTTCTGGGAGACTTGTGGGTTCCATTTTCTATTCCTTTTTGGTGAGAGCCTGAGTCAACCTTTCTATTCTTAGGAAGTTTTTTTTTTTTTCTTTTAATCAAATATCCACAAATATTTACTGAACAAGGTACTATTAAAGGCATTTTAAGTTCACGAAATAAGTCGTCTGTCCCTTCCACAATGTTCGACCACACTTAAAATAATTAGCTTAAATGGGAAATAAAGGAATAGTGCCCACACTCGTGACTTTAGTAAAGTGACTATTAATGTTATGCCTTGATAGCACCTGAGTTTGAATATAGTGTACTGAAAGGCTCAGGTCTGCCCTTGAGGACAAAGAGATAGATGCTCATGTAGCATCCTTGTTTTAGAGCAAAGATCTTGAGTCAAACAGACCTAGATCTGAATCCTAGTTCTACAACTTACTTACCTGGGACCTTGAGAAAATTACTTAACTTCTCTAAGACTCACTTTCTTCGGTTGTAAAATGGGGAGAACCTGCCTCACAGGGATTTTGTGAAGATTAAATCGGATGGCCTGACGTGGTGCCTGGCGCACAGTATGTGTTTGGTAAACATCAATCGTTATTCTTTGTTTTTTTGCATGTTATTGTTGCTATTATCAAAGAGGTTTTTTTCTATTCTAACTGCATGATGTAAGATTTAATCACCACAGGCCACCCCAAATTTGTGACGTCCCCTCATCGACTCACGTCTCCCAATCTCCGTTTCTTCCCCTGAACATGGGCAGATTGCAGAGATCTACATCCTGTCCCAGCCCTTCATGATCCGCATCATGGCCACGGAGCCTCCTGTGATCAATTTGCTACCGGGTAACTTCACCCTGGACATCCCTGCCTCCATCATGATCCTCACCCAGCCTGAGAACTCCACGATCGAACCTATCGTTTCCATGGACTTTGTAAGTCACAGGGACAGAAGGGCAGCCTGTGGATACCAATCCTCTTCCTACAGGAGACCACTGGCCCGCAGTGGTCTACCAAGTGTTTCGAGGGCTGGGAAGTAATACATCGGTTAGGGGTGAGCACAGGGTTGGGACTGTAGTGGGGAGAGATATGGGAAGTCAGTGCTCGTACCCCCATACATCGTAAAACAGCTCTGCACCCTTTTCCACTTCCTGTGCGCCCTTCCCTCTGCTTCAGTTTGCATTGATAGCCGAATCTCTTTTTTCTTTGAAATAAGTCAATCAAGATGGAATTCAAGTTTATTTGACCAGATGAAGGCCAAATGCAATCCAATAGAAAGGGACTAATACAATGAACCTAAGTGAAACATCACACACGCACACACGCACACACACACAGAGTATGTGGAGAAGAGAGATTAGAGAAAATAGAAAAATAATTTAAAGGAGGTCCTCAAACAAAAAGTCTTTATAGTTAGTTTTCTTACCTGAAAGACACTGTTTTTAGACTTATTTCTTTTCAATATCTCTTGGAATGAGAGGGAAAGTGGAGCTTATGATGCTTCTACTATAAGGAATAATATCCGTGGCCAGTTCATGACCAAAGAGATTTTACTCCTCTTAGTAACAAATGCTTTTGTTGTCTGCAGGTTGCTAGTACCAGTGTTGGCCTAGTTATTTTGGGACAAAGATTGATCTGCTCCTTGTCTCTGAACAGGTAAGATCAATAGATTTGATTTTCAAAAACCTTTGTCATAAGTGAATCAACAGACCACAGAGACAAAGCGAACATAACAGAATGGGTGAAGTTACCATTGGATAAAAAATGAATCACTTAACCACTTGTCTTGTAATAGTCCAGATAATTTCAAAGTATACACTTAACTAAAAAATGTGTTGAGAAATGGTTCTTTATTTCTTCCATTGAATAACATTAAGATAAAATGGGCCACGAAATAATTATAAATATAACTCAGTAAGTCTATGGCCATGCCACCCTGAACAAACCCGATCCTGTCTGATCTCGGAAGCTAAGCAGGGTCAGGCCTGATTAGTACTTAGATGGGAGACCACCTAGGAAGACCAGGTGCTGTAGGCATAAAATTTAAAATAAAAAAATAAGGGATCGTAAGCTGACAAGGTCTTTGCAATCTGTGAGGTCAACCAAAGATTGCTTCACCTAAATAAATAAATTAATTAATTAAATAATTTTAAAAATTAAAAAATAAATATAACAGTAATATAAATGCACAGTCTAATGCTACAGCAGTATACTCTAAAGTTCCTCTTTAACAAATTCAGAAAGCATGCTACTGAGGAAAGAGCATGAAATTTATAGGGTCAAGGCATGAAGTTTCAAATCCCTGCTCACAGGTTCTATGGCTATGATTATATTTATTAACCTCTGAGTCTCAGTTTCCTTATCTGTAAAGTAGTGAAGTTGGACTAAATCGTTCCTTTGGTACCTGCAGGCTCTGACATTCGTATCCCATTTCTAGAAGGTAGAGTTTAACGAGATCGTGCCACATGGCCTAGCTGGCTCTCAGATGTATGCCACACAGTGTGAAAGGACCTGAGCAAGTCATAGATGCAGGTCATTGAACACTCATTGCCGTTTGGAAGAATGGCTCATGTTCCTCAGACCTGTAAAGTTAGTAGTTGAAGCCATGAATCAGACTACCTAGGGAGACAGCAGGATATTAAACCAAGCACAAGGCCCTTCTGAGCATAAGACGGTCCCAACTGCACAGGTTGCAGTGCTTTGAGTGTGAAGATGGTTCCTGCAGGGGGCGCTATAACAAACCTCAGGATGTGAGTGGACCGGGCAAGGCAGGTGAGCCAGGCATCACTCAGGCCTCAGGCAGCCAAACCCAGATGCAAAACTTTGCAAAGGAGCAGAGGCATTGCTGAAAGAGCCACCTTAGCCTTTGCAAGAGCGGTAGCCCCACATCCTACACCGGCCACCCCAGCCAGTGCCTCCCCTCCTGGGCTTCTCAGGCAAGCGCTGCTTTTCAGGATGAGCTGGTTTGTTCTTAGGTGATATCATCACTCAGGCCTCAGGCAGCCAAACCCAGAGGCGAGACTTTGCAAAGGAGCAGAGGCATTGCTGAAAGAGCCACCTTAGCCTTTGCAAGAGCGGTAGCCCCACATCCTACACCGGCCACCCCAGCCAGTGCCTCCCCTCCTGGGCTTCTCAGGCAAGCGCTGCTTTTCAGGATGAGCTGGTTTGTTCTTAGGTGATATCAGAGAGAGACACAGCAGGAAGAAGCCTAAAGTGGGTGGGGATCAGTGAAACATCCCTGAGAAGAACCAAGAACACAGGGTCTCCAAATCCAGCTCCCCAGAACACCACAGCCTTTCTAACCATCCCCTGCCTGAAGGAATCTCTTTCTGGAGCTGCTTGGGGCAGGCTGTGTAGACACGAGATGCAGAAATCAGAGGCACATCCAGTGCGGTGAGTTTAGAGAGGTGGCGAGATCGTGGGCTTTGGAGTCAGAATAGCTGGTTCAAATCCCAGCCCAGATTTATTAGCTGTGGGGGTCTCGGGCAAGTTACTTAACCTCACTGAGCCTCCATTCCCTCCTCTATAAAATGAGGATGCAACAAAACCCACTTCAGGGGTCGTTGCAAGAAATACATGAGTTAACCCATGTAAAGTGCATATTAAGTGTTCAAGAAATGTTGGCTATGGCTATTACTTAAAATTTAGGCTGGCCTTAGCCAGGGGAAGGAGGTGCTCAATCATACAAGATCATTTCAAGAATTCCCCTATTCAGAAAACACCTCCTACCTGGTCTCCTGCCCAGCGATGGCTGTTAGAGAAATTGCCTTTTATTCTACTATTTGTGACCACTCGTTGTTATTGAGCCTTTTTTGTCTATCGGTCCTGTGCCAAGCACTGCATGTATACTGTTTCGTTTAAATCTCACAACTCTGTACCTCCAGGACCTGGCACAGTGCTCAGTAAATGTCTGCAGATTGAATGAATAATACTGGAGTTCGGTATTATTATACCCATTTTGCAGTTCATGAAGCTTCTATAACTTACGTCACAGAGCTGTTGAATAGTGGAGCTAGGTCTTGAACCTGAGCGAGTCTGTTTTCAAAAGCATGACTGTTTATTTACTACATTATACTGCCTTTGACGTAGTGAAAAGCTAAAACTTAAAAATAAGACTTAGACTTAAGACTTAAAAAATAAATACCCTTGCCTAGAGGCAGAAACCCACGAGCATGGAGTCACATTGAATCGAAACAGGCAACTTATTCTTTCTCAGTGTTAAGGATTGGTAGAAGACACTGGCATTGGACACAGCCCTTTTCTCATAGTATTACGGAATCGAGTAAAGGAAGGATAAAGAAAGCAAAAGCTGGGAGTATAAATAGTAAACTTGACCTCTTTGGGTATGTCTAGTTCAGAGCGCAGGCTCTGGAGTCAAGCATATGTGAGTTTGAATTCTACCTCAGTCATTTGAAGCTCTGTGACCATCAGCAAGTTGATTAACCTCTCCATGTATCGGTTTTCCCATCAGCAAAACAGAGCACCTCTCCATAGAGTGGTCGTATGGGTAGATGAGATGATGTAAGAAACACACACGACAGATAAGATGATGTAAGAAACACACACATATAATCAGTGCTCAGGAAAGATTCATTACTCCTAATATTTCTCTTTCCTCATTCTAGGATCAAAGTTTGACCAAATAAGACAGGGAAATTGGTCCCAACAGACATGACAAGTCAGGATGGTCTTAAAAGCTGTAGAGTTGGCCCTCGAAGTCATAAACCAGATTCTTACTGCTCTATCTACAGTAGAGACTTTTGTTCCAAACACAATTCTATTTGGAGGTAACTCTAATACAGGTCGGCTCACATAGTAGACATCTGAGATTATTTTGAGATTATTTCATTTTGAGATTTCAAGATTATTTCAGAAGCCAAATTAAATAACACTTTTCCTTTTTTGGTCCTCATCCAGATGACTTAATTCTAATCCTCTTTTCTTAATCACAAGTAAAGCTCAAAACAACTAAATGGACATTATTGTCGAACCATTTAGAACTTTAGAACATTTTGGACATGCCATGATTGAGGCTTGAGGTGTTCCCAAACTGCACCCCACCACCATTCACACACACACACACACACACACACACACACACACACACACACACACACACCCTACAACCCCTCCCATGAAACACCATCAGAAAATGCAAATAAAGCTGACTATAAGCAGATAGAATCACCAGTTAACTCCACTCCTCAAAGCCTGGGTGGATAAACATTTCCCAACGTGAGCCATCTAGAGAGAAACTCAGAAGGGAAAACAGGTCTGGGAAGAATGGATTCGGTTTCTGCTGGGACAGCGCTTTGGATGGGTCACCAGAGCTCAGGCTTGGCACCTGGGCTGCCCTCCATTTCCACCCTTCCTCCTAACTACTGTCGAAGACAAGACAGAGGAATACTACAGTGGGGAGCCCAGTCAGAGGAGGAAACCCCAAATGACTTCTTCCCCTTCTCTCAGACCCTGTGGGGGGAATTTCCAGGCTGCAGAAGGCAATGAAGTTAAAACGTTGGGGAACTTTTCCTCATTGAGAGGGTTCCTTTCATACTGGAATGGGCTCAACACATTCCTGCCCTCAAAACCTTTTGTAGTTGGACTAGATCCACAGCCTGGGGGTTTCAAGTTCTTCAGTTACTGGTTCTCCCTTTCGAGCCAGCCAACCTTATTTCCCATAGCTCCCTAAAATGAACATTCTGCTTTAAATCGGCTCACCCTCAAAGTGACCCCAATTCCAATAAACACTCCCCACCCATGTCCTGTATCTTCTCATTTACCCATATATCCATCAATGAGAATTTACTAAGCGCCTATTATGTTCTCTGCACTGTCCTTGATACAGAAAGTAGAGAGGACAGGGGTTTCTACCTTCCAGCTTCACAGCCTGGTGAGAGGAACACTCAGATTTCAGGCAATTACAATACTGGGTGCCAAGGGACATGGTAGGTAGGGTACTTACATGGTAGCGTGCAGAGTGCTTCTCCCAAAGGGCAGCTTCTTTTCCCCTATCTATCCATCCGTCTTCCCCCACATTCATTCATTCTCTCTCTCATACACACACACACACACACACACACACACACACACATGCACACACACATCTCCAACCCACGCTGGTTTCTTCACATTTTCACACCTCAGAATTCCTGCAGCAAGTCAGTGTGGTGCGTAAACCCTCAAAGGAGCACCTGAATACACACTACTTGTTATTGTTCTCTAATTGCTTCCTGTACATACAGCTCTCCATTCCTCATAAATAAGGATATAAATAAAATTCTTCACATTGCCTCGCACGTTGCTGAGTCTATAACAAGCACCTGTGAAACCTCTTGACCTGCTGACCTTTTCTCCATACTGCAGCCAGGGCGATCTTGACAAAACACAGACATCATCTCCCTTCCTAGAAGCCTTCCGTAGAGTCCTTGCTCTTAGGATAAATATCAGAATCCTAACATGGCCTGAGAAGCCCAGCTGGTCAACCCCATCTGCCTCTCTAGCATCATCTTGCTATACTCTCTCCCAAGCTCTCTGTTCCTGCCACAGGGCCTTTGCAACCTCTGCCTAGACCCCTCCCCCTTCCCACGTCTTTCCTCATTTTGCCTTTTTCATCCCGCTCATCCTTCATGTCAGCTGAAAGACGTATTTCCCTTTTTTGGAAAACTTCCTATACTCACCAAGTTAGATCAGGTTCCTTTGTTATTTGCCTCAACAAATTTCTTTCTTTTCACCAAAGCATTCTTCTCAGTCTGTAATGAAACCTTCATCAGTGAGGTTATTCGATTAATGCCTTCTTCCCCACTAGGCCTGTAAGCCGCCTCCCCACGTGAGAGCAATGGCCGTGTCTGGTTTTGCTCACAATCCTATCTGCAGCACCTGTCCCAGGGCTGACTATGTTAGATGTTCAATAAATATCAGCTACGTGCGTCAGTGAATGAACACTTAGTACCTGCACGTGCCATGCTCTTTGCTCAATCCTAGGAATACAAAGATAATTAATATTGACTCTCTACCTTGAAGGAGTTCGTAGTCAGAGGGCAAAGAGATAAACAATCATGGTAAGGTATTGAGGGCAGGACTGATTTTCAATGTCTGCTCTGGTCACGGGGTTGGAGGAATGGCATTGTGAATGCTCGTGCTTTGGTCCACCTGACCTTCATTTTGTCATATTTGATATGTTGACCCAGATCATGAAGGGCCTTTTGTCATGCTTGAGAGTTGGTACTTCAGCTCTGGTTTTCAATCAGGACGATAAACTTTCTCCAAAAAAATTTTTAAATAGGCTATATTCTTACATATCTGCAAGGTAGGGCTATCTGCGTTCCCTTTCCCCCCAAAGACTCTGTGGTCCTCTAATAAAAATTAGTTCCTTTTGTCAAGGCTGTAAGCAGCAGGTTAGGGCCCTGCCTGGCAGAGAATGAGAGGTCGAAAGACTGAACTCAGGCGCCACCTAGTGGTTTGAGCTGTGCCTGTGTGTTTTTCGGAACCAGAGCAGGGAGAGTTTGCTCTTTGCTCCCCCTGTTTCTCTGCAGTTAGTGAGATGCGGCCATTAGTAAACTAATCCCATGAGTATACCTCGAGAACTAGGACAGAGACGTGAGATGGTCCCAGGAGGAAAGGATAGTCGGTTCGTAGGACACCCCAGACAAGCTCACTCAAAGTAGATGGTCCTGAGGTGGCCGATTATGGCAGGGTTGTGATTAAAGAAAAAAAAAGAAAAGTCACAATTGTGTTCCACTCTTATGTAGGCCAAATCTCTAACCTGGTCTAGATTGTCCATGATAAGAGGTGGTGATAAGAGGTGGTGAGACCAGGGAGAGGCATCCCCAGCAGTGCCTTTAACCATTATACTGCACTGCCTTTCATGTCAGACAGCTATCACAGCTACCATTTCCCCTATGTCTTATGACTGAGCAGCTAAAAAATGATACAGGTGATACAGCCTTCTGAGAGCTGTGGCCTTGACTGAGCACAGAATCCAGAGTCAAGTAGTGTGAGATTTGCCACCTGGATCCATCAGTTGTTAATTCTGTGACTTGATGAATGTAATTCTCCTCTCTAATCATCAGTTTCCTGCAAAAGGGACAATAATAATTTCATCTATCACAGTAGCACTGTGAAGATTAATTTTCAAAATGTTTATAAAGCTCCTAAGAAAGGGCACCACTATCGCCTTCATCATTATCGTCGCATTTATTAATAAGGGATCAGCCTGGCTCGGAGAAGTTAAAAGGTTGAGTTCAAAGCCAGAAGACCTGGAAAACATTTCTCCTATCCAAGTACTAACCAGGCCCAACCCTGCTTAGCTTCAGGCATCAGACAAGATTGGACACGTGGGGTGGCATGGCTGTAGCCTGAAAGCCATTTATTTCTTAAGACTGTTCTGCATTCCAGGTTGCCAACAGGAAGTCCCACAGAGCAAAAGCATTTGGGAAACTCATTCTGGTTTCAAAGCCAAGGCTTCGGCTGTTTCTGCTCTGCTTTTTAAGCAGAAAATATAAGGGTAAAGATGTAATAGAACATTATGTCCTTACAAGGTTGTGTGTGTTTTAAATAGCATCTTATTGAGCTAAAAAAAAAAAAATTACTCTTTCGTTTTGTTCCTTTCTATTGAAATGATTGCTTTTAAATGTTCCTCTAATCTTTTCCTGTTGGTTTTTGTTGTTTTGCTTTGTTTTCAGGTTCCGCCTTACTCTGCCAGAATCCAGACGCAGCAATATCGAGGTAGGAGTCAGAGCTCTCAGAGTTCCCTGTCCAGGGAAGAATGAAAATTCTCCTATATAGTAGCTGGATGATTGTTTTCTATGTCTCTGAGTAGTACTTGGTTTTTCCATGAGTGTTGATTTTAACTGTAAAATTCTTTATATAGCTACTCATCCAAGCCCATTAACTATTAAACAAGAGAGGAACTCTCCAATTCACTTTTATCTATTCAGAAAGACTTTTAAAGGAACTCAAAAAAACTGTTAAGACATTGTGTAATGTTGAGATTTTCAGGGAGACTTCATTTTTTGGATAAAATAATCTTCTAGAGTTAAATTTAAGATCCAGACTCCCAAAGAATGAGGTTCTTTGTCAATTTTTAGGCCATGATTAATTTTACTCTTCGAAGGCTTTCTAGCCATATCCTAAAATTAGGTCAAGGTTGTTCGTGTTCTCAGAAGAGTCCCAACAAGCTACAGGAAGTTCCCCCAAGCTATAGGAAGATCAGCCAAATCACTAAGTGACATCTCTATCCTTGAGGCACTTATACTCTAGAGCAGCGGTTCTCAACTAGGCTCACTGTGGATTAACACCTCTGTGGCATAGCCATTTGGTAGATGGCAGACTATAGTCGATGAGAATTCATAGCTGACTGTCTTATAAATAATATTCCCTGAGCTCAGAGGAGGCAAAGTGAGTCCAAGTCTTCCAGGAAGACCCAGACAAACTACTCCGTATCAATGACAGAGTGTACTAACCGTTACATTTCTGAAAAAAAAAGGACAATGCTATATACAGGGTATTTTTACATAATATTAACCCATTTACTCTTGACAACAACCCTATGAAATTAGTACTATTATTTTCACTTTATAGTTGAGTAAGTTGAGGTACAGAAAAGTTAAGGAACTTTCCCACCATCACACAGTGAAGTGGTAAAAACAAGAGATAAATCTAGAAAGTCTACTGCAGGGATACCCTTAATAAGCTGCAAAGAGATTCTTGTTTTTGCTAAGCCTATAGGATGCTAAAAAAAATATTCATTGAATGAATTGATGTTGATCGTAGTCCATTTATTTTTAATCCCTGAATGTTCCCAGGAACCAACATTTAGCTAGGATTATACAACTACCATAGTTTATTAAAAATCACTTGGATGTTCTGGTGATGCCTTTAACTATAGAGCACAACATAAAGTGAGGGAACTCCCGTGGCTGAGGTTCCCAGTAAAGTCGGGAAAGACTACTAAGGTGGGGTGTGTATCAGTTGTTCTGGATTGTCTTACTTGGTGGATACCTAAGCTGCCATGTTTGCTGCCACCATGCGGTCTCTCTACAGTTGTCACCATGATCCAGGGTGGAGGAGAGCAGAAATGTGCATCCTCGAGGAGGAAGAAAGACTGGGAAATTCTGTAATACGGTTTCCCACAAAATAGCTTTTGGTGTCTGGAAAACTAGAATACGTGCATCTCTGTGGGGAGATTCTAATTATAGCCCTCTATCCCCATAAGGTCTGGAAAAGTGCAGTTCCAAACCAGGCACGGTACTTTCAAAATGTCCTGATTTGGCAACTGATTTAGTTTCCCCTTTCATTTTAGGTCTTGAAGTTTGAGAATATTCTGTCCTTCATTATCCACTTTGGCATCCTCCCACTGGCCAACGGTAAGAGATTCTTGGAAAACAACGTGAGGCTGACATCAGCTAAATGTTGGGGATTGTTTGGGACTTTCCATCCTGAAGCTTGTGCTTCTAGAGTGTTGTTATGAATCCAGGCCAGTGCCAGAATTTACTAAGCTTATACCATCAACGATAGGTTATAAAATTAGATATCTCATGTCCAAGCCTTGTGAGCAACTCTACTTGAAGACTCAGCAAGAACGGCTACCTCTGGTCGAGTTAAGGAGATTGAAATCACTCTCCTTAGACAGTGGAGTCTCCTTCAGGTCATCCAGAAATGAAATTATTCTCCCGAAAGGATATCTCAGTGGTTCTTGTGCAAAGACCATCTGGATGGACACAGTTTTCATGAATGACAATCCTAGGCCTTCTCCCTGCACTGCAATTATTCACATGCTGCAGCATCTTGAATTTGACTTGGTTAAAATACATTTTGTATTGGAGACCAAAAGGTTCTCAGGACCCAATAAGGTATTTTTAAAATATAAACTGGACAAAGTGCCAGCATTTTTATACCATCCAAATGCACATAATTGCAGGTGCATTTTTATTAAGCATGAATTATGTAACCATTCTTCTGGGGAAATGATAGGGACATATCACGGAGAATGAAAACACAGAACTAGGATGAATGAAAAAATAAATTGTTAAAAAGCCGCTTGTTAGTCTCTTACCAAAAATTTTGCCAAAACTTCCGTGCCTGTGCCCAATTATTTTACACCTTGTTTTATATTTTAGCAAAATTGCAGCAAGGATTTCCTCTGCCCAACCCACACAAAATCTCATTTGTCAATTCAGATATTGAAGTTCTTGAGGTAAGAATGTGAATATTCTCTTAACTGCCTCGTTTCTTTCCATAGTAGAATCAGCCTTTTTCTATTTGCTTACTTTTTGTTTTATTTCATTCTACTCTGCTTTTTCCCAGCCCAGGGAATTTTATAAACATTACGTTTAGCTCTTAAAGCTGGCAATGAATAATGAAAAGCATTTAAAGTCGTGTTTTAAAATTGGAGTACTGTTTCCCTTCGCAGCCAAATTTATTCACACCACAGTACGAGAGGATGCAATGCGGTGTGTTTTATTTTCTTTATTCCATGAAACAACCTGTAAGGCTGGGATTATTAGTCCCATTTTATAGATGAGGAGGGTAAGACTCAGAGAAGTGAAGAGGCTTATGTAGTTGGAAAATCCATAGCTGAGACCAGACTGGCTGTTCAGATTCTCTAGTCAGTGAACTTTTGTCTGAACCAAAGACCCTCCTCTGGGCTCAGGGATCCGCTGTGAGCTGTTTCCTGGTTAATTATTATTAAGAAACTTCAGAACACTCCTTTTTTTTCTATTCTGGCTCTTTGTTTAGGAAGGTGGAAATGAGATTCTGATGAAATTATCCAATCCTATATACTACCCTGAACTCCCTCTTCCTCCTCACCTCCCCTTCCATAATTGCTTAGGTCACATAAGGCAACAGTAATCCAAAATGTCCTGTTCCTGGAGTAAAGGGAGTCAAATATGTGGTGACAGAAAGAAATCTAACTACGGGAGGTGAACATGCTGTGTAAATGTATATATGCCTTACTGTTAAAGTGTACAGCTGAAACTTACTGGATTTCGTTAACCAATGTCACCATAAAAAATTATTTAATTAATTATTTTTTTTAAAAAAAGGCAGAAACAAAAACCCATGGCCTGTTCCTATGTCTGAGGCACTCACCACCAGGGGAGGGGAGGGTATGACACAGTAGGACCTGTGTAAGAAACCATGTCCTGTGACACAGTAAACCTGGTAAAGAAACCATCTCTCCCTCACCCCTCTGGCAAACCCAGACATCCTATGGCTTCAGGTGCCTGAAGTTTAACATCATCTTCCTTGTTGCATCCTTTTCAGCATTTCCTTTTGATTTCCACGGACCTGAAGTATGAAACCTCCTTAAAGCAGCAACCAAGTTTCCATGGTTGGGAAGGTCTGAACCTGATCAATGGACAGTGGAGCGGGAAATCAGCCCCTTGACTGCCTGCTTGGGGTTCACTGCAGGAAGTAAATGGCCCTTAATCTCACCTACTGTAAACCCAGAGGGAGAAGACAGCACGCACTGGAATTTTAAAGTTCTCCTGAAGTGTTTAGGCTGGAAGTTTTCTTTCTCCAGCCCTCAGGGACAGAGGGAGACAAACTGGGTTAAAGAGCTAAATCAGGGTGTGTTCGTCTCTGTGCGTGGAGGGGTGGATGTTTGAATGTGTGTTCATGTTTGAATGCATGAATGTGTTCCTGCGTTTATGAAATCCTGGAGCCAAGAGCTAGGCATGTACTTCTGACAAGGTACATGAGAAATTTCTCAAGTACAGATTTGAATCAGTTTGATCGGTGGAGATCCCCTCAGCCCTCTCAGCTCTCTGGGGTTCTCCCACTCCCTGCATATTGGATTTTATGTTTTATATTTACTGCTACTGTCCCCTGTATTTAATTAAAATTGTTTTCTATTAATGTTAACCTTGTCTTTTTATTTGCAAGACTTCCTGCCCCAGCTTTTTTTTAAATGAAATAAGACAGAGACAAGAGAATTTAGTGTCTTTAACATTGATGAAAACTGAGATAGTACAGAGTTCAAGGCTTGATTTAAAACGAGAATTCTTTGCCTCTTAGATGTTTGCAGTGAGAAACTGTGTGATCACAGAAAACTCAGGAAGTCATATCACTTTAAGTTTTAGGATGTTTTCCCTGCCAGATTAAATGAAATAGCAGTGCAGGGTACTAAACCTAGAAAATTCACAGTCGATGATGATGTTAATGTTGTCCTAATCAATGGGGTGAAGTTAGGGTGAACTTATTACTCAAAACAAGAGACATTGCGTATAAAAGCATGGTCACAGAGTAGTTAGTCCCCAATGAAGACCAGACTGGGAAGCCTGGGCTATCCATAGGGACAGAGATTTGCTCATTTTGGAGCACACATCTAGTCATAATAGGTGCCCCCATGAGTGTTTGTTGAAATATATGATAAACAGTCATGTGTCATTCTTTGGGATGCTGTTTTATGACAGGCAAGTTATTCAAGGTATATCCACAAATTCATTCTGAAACATTACAAATGTTCAGTTGTGTTATTTATTTAAACACGTTCATCTTTCTCAGCTGCAGACATCTTTCCCTCCTCGCTGCTGGGAATGAAATCCAAGCTGATTTATTCATTAGAGCAGCCGGACCTGACCCAGAGTCATGCGTTTTTCTGTGCTACGAAAGATATAACTAGATCATACTGAAAACTAGAGACTTCAGCTAGCTCAGCTTTAGCGTAGAAGAGAATGACTAGTAAATGTCCAAAAAGGTGAACACTAGAGGGCAGTCTAACTTAACTGAGAGAAACGCGGTTGCTGCGACGAGTTTCGAGCCTCGACGCTTGCCGTCACCCATCCTGCCACGGGGCCGACCGCGCCTGCGCGTTGAGTTTCCGGAAGGTGGTGCTTCGAGAAACGGGACATCGCGGCCGCTGCTTTTCAAAGCGGATCCGGGAGTTGCTACTGTTGTCGCCGCCATGAGTCGCAACTACAACGATGAGCTGCAGTTCCTGGAAAAGATCAATAAAAACTGCTGGAGAATCAAGAAAGGCTTCGTGCCCAACATGCAGGTGAGGCGAAGGAGCAGGACCCAGTAGCGGGGCTTTCCTGTCTGGGGACCCGCGGCGCCTCCTTGCCAACCCGGCCAGGCCTCCTCGCCCTTCCGACCTAGCAGAGGGCCTCCCACCCACCCTCTGGCCTCAGGGACTGCCTAACGCGCCGGCCCTATCTCCCCTCAGGAGAGCGCCCCAAATCACATAGACAGGCAAAGTCGATTATGGCTAGGGAATCCAAGTAAATAGGAAGCTGGCGTTTGTAAACCGTTTTCACACATAAGTCTCATAAGCGCACTGTAAGTTGTGTTGCGTTCCTGAGCTTCAGAGACGTTAGTTGTTTTTTACAAGGTGGCACAGCCAGTCAGGGGTAGAGTTGCCGGGACTGGAACTCAGTTCCTCTGAGTCATGCTGGTCGTTTAAGTGACCTTTACAGACCTGTGTTTGCTGAACTAAGTTTTCAGCATTCGCTGTTCCGTGTTGGTTTTTAATAAGACGGTTTTGTTACTCGCAACAGCCTATAAAAAGTTCACAGGGCACAAATTGTTTTCAATATTCACTTCTCAAAGATCTTTGAGGAACAGGCTTCCTCTACTCACCTAATAAGAAGCTCAACTAGGACTCGATGTCCAATTAACTTCTTTCTGTGACAGGATGATGTATTCTCTATGGAGACTTAAGAGTCTAATCAGAGAGTTGGAAAGCCTAGGCTGCCTATATCTCTCAGGCTTCATCGCCATTTGTGACTACTATTTTCCATTAAAGTAGAGAAATAAGGCATTTGTGAAGTTTTGGTGCATATGTTGTTAAATGGCTTTTGAAATCCTTTAATGGACCATGTAAGTGCACTGAAGGTTTGTGATCTTGTGTCTTTGCAAAAGTTCTTGATAGCTGCTCCACCCTTTTAATCAATGTCAAAACTTAGAGTCTCCCCAATGAGTAAATCACTTAGCTACACACTGAGGGGAGAAAAAGCCCATAGTCTTAAAACTCCTTTTTGCTGTTTTCCACTTGGCAATTTTCTATGTATGGAATCTCATTACCTGAATGAAGAAGTAGAAAGTGAAAATCACCATGCCCTGATCATTGTAAAGAGATGGTACACTGTCATTGTCTGGCAACAATTTGGGTTTAACTTTTGAGGCACACACTGCTGCTCATTCTAAGAGCAAGTCTAATTTTGCTGGGCAGTTCTGATTTAACCATTTATGCAATACTTGACTACCACCTATCCCTTGAGAATGGGGAGTTGACATCTTGATATATTGCTCTTAAAGTTACCGACCACTATGCCAAGCTTAAATTGTGTTCCAGTCCTCATGAGAATCATGAATTTTATACAAATAATTATCTGCTTACATAGTCTCCATTCCTCCCCTAAGACCCATTTGCTGCACTAAAAATTCCTGTTCCCTAAAACACTCCCTTCCCATCTTTATGTCATCTTTGCGTTCAGCTCCTAAATGTGCTGCTGTTCCAGTGATGTGCCTTGTCTTTAAAGAGCCAACTCAAAATGTGAACAAAAAGTGAGCAGCAACGTCCCCCAGCTCCCTAACCATGGAGCTACTTCATCAGATTCTTCAGTAGCACTGTGTACTTACTTCTGTTACAGCACTTGTCTCACTGCATTCTTAATTGGCTTGTCTGGGCTTCATCCTAGACTGCAAGCTCGTCAAGCAGGATCTTGCATATTCTTGCATATCTCCCTAGTGACCAGTATAGTGCCTGACACATAATCATTAAATGTTTGGTGAATTAATAAATGTGACCCTTAGAAATTGTACTGGATATGTTTTCCATCAACTGGCATTGTTATTCATGCAGACGTGAGTTGCAGAAATCATCTAATTAGAGAAGTTTACTTATCCGGATGATTAAGTATTAAATCTTTGGTTCTATATTACTGGGCAGTTCCTTTGTAATATTTGATCTCCGATAAAAATGTTCTGGCCTTTGGAAGTACATAATTGTGTCTTTATTGCCTTTAGTGTGCCCCTATTGTCAAAATTCTTCATATTCTTAAGATTATATAGATTATAGAACTGAGCACACAGCTAGCTAATAGCTGCATGTTAAATTGTTTTTACTCAGTATTTACCTAAGTAGATTTGTAAATCAGCATAGGACACAATAAAGTGTGATGTGCTATTATCTTAAGCACAGGAAAAGTACACTAAAGTAAGATGACTGCAGTTTTATGTTTAGAATTTGAAATTTTGATTTTTAATCCATTGATGTTTTAGAGGCACTAAGGCACTGAGACCTTTTGGCACTAGTACAAAAGTTTTATTCACATATACAAAAAATATTTTACCTGTTAAAATCTCAAATGTGGCTTTGAGAGTAGGAGAATAAAAACAATTTGCAAACATTTCAAAATACATTTTTAACATAGACAGTTGACCCTTGAACAACACAAGTTTAAACTGCATGGGTCTACTTAATATGTGGATTTTTTTTCAATAAGTACTATAAATTTATGTTCTCATTAATAACATTTTCTTTAGCTTATTCTATAATAACAATACAGTATGTAACATATACAGTATATAATACACAAAATGTATCAATTGACTGTTTATGTTATCAGTAAGGTTTCTAGTCAACAGTTAAGCTTTAGGGGAATCAAAAATTATACTCTGATTTTTAACTGGGGCAGGATGTTGGTCGGCACCTTTAACCTGTGTTGTTCAAGGGTCAACTGTATTTAAAGTTGGGAACATCTTGTAGCTTTTGATAGGAATTTTTCTGCTTGTTCAAGGTAATGTGAAATTGTTCTCTAAAGAGTAAAGCAGAATGAGTATTACATCTGGTATTGTCTTCTACCCAGTGCCTATACATCATGTACATGTGCTCAAATGTACGTTTTCCTTTGGTACCAGGTTGAAGGAGTTTTCTATGTGAATGATGCTCTGGAAAAATTAATGTTTGAGGAATTAAGGAATGCCTGTCGAGGTGGCGGTAAGTACATTAGAATATTACATGTGGCAGTATAAGTAGTGTCTTCCTATAGCCCGAAAAAAAAAAAAAAAGATCATTCAGATAAAATTTTGTCAAGAAATGACCAGGACTTGAGATGAGACCAAAAAACTGTTACATATTTGTGATTATGTTGTTAGCTGCCTGGCCCTGTAGAACCCATTTGGAGCAGGGCGGACCTGGTTGGTTTAAAAGCTAACCTTGGATAATAAGAGCTACCTCGTGTAATTCTTAGAGTAATTCTAAGAGAAAGCTACTATCACCATTTTACAGATGTGTAAGTCAAGGTTCAGGGAGGTTAAGTAATTTTAATTTGTCCATGGTTGCACAACTTCTTGGTTACTCAGAAATGCCGGATTCCAAAGTCAGTGTTCTTAACCAGTACACTGATTAGCCTCACTGGACTTCAGTTTTCTCATCTATAAAAGAGTTTATTACACTTATCTTGCAGGACTGCAGCAAGATTTAGAGATAAACATATAAAACTCTACTATAAAGCTCTAATGATGACAGCGGAATTGAAATCAGTTTTAACTCTTTTATTTTCTGGATCAACAAAATAAATCCTAATCCACCTCCCTGCCAAGATATGCCGAGTTGTCTGAAATGACCCAACAACCAAGTGATAGAGCTGGGACTAGAACCCTTAGTTTCCTGACTCAATTCAGTGTTTTCCCAGCTCTTCCACATTGCCCTTCTCTGTCACTTAGAAGAAAACCAGTGTTGATTTTTGTTTTTGATAAGTACATTTTTTTGTATTGCCAACGTAACGTATAATCGTTATGTTTTACATCTCCCAGCACAGTTGCAGGCAACCCTCACACAGAACATTGATGGCGTGTTTGTCATTCGTCTGGTTGCCCTCACTGCCTTTCTGAGCATGTGCTGCCTTCTTGGGGATGCTCCCTTCATGCTTCCATTTCAAACATCCTTTTGTGCTTTGTTTGAGCAGTCCTAATCACTCCCTTTACGTAATGCATTCTAGAAATATATGAACATACTTACTAAAAATCAAATGTGCCCTCTTTTCTAATAATGAATTTTTAACTTCAGGTGTCGGCGGCTTCCTGCCTGCCATGAAACAAATTGGCAATGTGGCAGCCCTGCCCGGGATTGTTCATGTGAGTCCATGTTCAGAGCTTTAATCAGTTGTATTTCTCTTAGTCTGAAAGTTTGTTGAATGGATGACTGGCCATGCCTAACTGATGATAGTGGTGTCATTTAGACAGTGACCTTTGAACATCTGGAAATAACTGTGGGATTTAAAGATATAATTGGGCCTGAATAACATCCGAGGTTCTGGTTGCCTTTGGCTAGAATCTGTAAGTGTTGGAGAACCTTAGATGTAGTTTTTAATGTGTTCTTGTTTCTTTGTCATTGTATGTCATTATTCCTGGGTTAGTGTACCACCATTGTCATTTTCACTATGGCCCCACTCCAGAGGATGATTGGAGAAGGAATGGAAAAGTTTAAGGGTTGGGACTGAGGAGAGGGAGACGGTATAGCTACTCTGAACATGACCGAAAAGGGCTAGTGGCAACAACAGGGAGAAAACTGGGTGGTACAAGTGGGTTCCCGCTGTAGCCTAACGTTACAACTCCGCCATTAGAGGTAAACGTTAAAATGAATCCACTCTGCAGACATCTTTTTGAGGTCTTCATGCCAGTTACTATCCTGGGCATTCGGAGGGGGGAAATGAAAAGACATGGCTTATGCATATGAGGAACTCACAAGTGTCTAGGTATCTCCATATAGCCTCACCGTGTTTGATCTGCATTCCTCCTGGGTCAGGATCCTTTCCTAGACCCCAGATGTAGAAAGTGTACAGTGTTCATATCATCAAGTCCATTACATTTGTCTGCGATGGCTTAAACACTGAAGATAGGTATAAATCAGATATTGCTCTGCCTTTAACCTGACATGACCATGATTTTTCAAAGTTTGTCTTTAGATGGCTTTAAAATGTAATAATACACTAAAGTTAGTATGTGGTCCTCCTGTGTCATGTTATGATGAGGCTCTTCTGTTTTAGGGTTCCTTAGTGGTCAGACTTTATAAGAAAGATTTTTCCTCCACTATATTAACTTTATGGTTAGGAGTTTTTACACCTAATTTTCACCAGTAGAGACTATTCCATGAGACTAGAATCTTGATTCGGGTAAAGCTTTAGCCCGCAGACTATCAGGTCCATCAGGTATCAGGTCCATCAGGCAACCAGAATGCAAGATTAAGGAAGCTGTATTATCATTTTCTGATTCTCTTTCAGCGATCTATTGGGCTTCCTGATGTCCATTCAGGTTATGGGTTTGCTATTGGGAATATGGCAGCCTTTGATATGAATGATCCTGAAGCAGTGGTGTCCCCAGGTAAGGTCACTGTGCACATCTGCTCTCAATGTAGCATAGCCTTTGGGAAAAACAGCCTGGCTTCTTGTGTGTGCATCTCATGGTCTCACCACATTCTGTCATTTCTTTTCCTCTCATTTACTGAGGAACACTCAGAGGCTGTTTAAACATCAAGTAAGGCATATATTTATTGTGAATTGTTTAGGCTCTTACTGTATACCAGGCATTATTCAGACGATAAAACAAACTGAAACACTTCCCTGGCAAATTATGTGTCTTCGAAAATATTTCACATCAGAAGTAAAATCTTTGCTTTCAGAGTCTGAGAAAAAAAATGAAGTTTAAATTACATCTTTAGAGTTCTGCCTCTGGCAATGGTGAACAGGGTTGTTGCAGACTATTCTCCTGCTGAGAATAACAAGAAAGGCTGAATAAATTGTTTCTTTAAATCTGTTTGAAAGCAGCGGAAAGCTTAAGGCAGTAAGAACTTGTGAGGCTGCGATCAGGAGAAAAAGAAAAGTGCGATTACATGAATCCAGCATTTAGCACTGTTTTTCTTGAGGTGATGGCAGATTTCCGTCAGTAAGGCTATAGATGATATGAACAATACAGTTAACACACTTGACACTAGACCTCTAATATACATGCATGGTTCCATGTACACACACATTGCAGAGCATCCAAGAACTGTAGATTGTACACATTCTTTTTGAGTGCACACAGAACATTTACCAGAACTGTAGATTGTACACATTCTTTTTGAGTGCACACAGAACATTTACCAGAATCGACCATGTGCTGAGCCAGAAAGCAGATCTCAGATTTCAAAGCATTGAAAACATAGAGCAGCAGTTCTCAAAATTTTTGCTCTTAAAAAACCTTGACAGTTGATCTCAAAGGCTTTTATCAATGTTTACCTTACTAGATATTAAAACTGAGACATTTTTAAAGCAATAATACACAAATACATGTTTCATTTTTCATCAGAGCAAACATGTTATCACATGTCATGTAGCCTTTGCAAAACTTCACTGTACACTCGAGAGAATAAGTTTAAAAGACTGATAAAGTCTTAGCATTATTATACATATAGTCTTATAGACCTGAAAGGATCTCTGGACCACACTTTAAAACCACTGATATAGAGGATATTATCTTTCCACAGTGGAGTTAAGTTAGAAGTCATTAACAACAACAAAAACTATAAAAACCCATCTTATATTTATAAAATAAGAAATATGTGTTTAACCCAGGGGTCAAAAAAATCATAATGGAGATACAAAATAATATCAAAAAATACATATGTCTAAAAATTGTGGGTTACTGCTAATGGCATACTTGGATAGCAGTATTGTAGCTTTAAGCATAAATGAGAAAAGAAGGATGAAATAGCAGTGATCTAAGCATCCATCTCAGAAAGTTAAAGAACATCAAATCAAAAACCCAAAAAAAAAGGCAGAAAGATGGAATTAAGAGCAAAATTAATAAAAAATATATATGTACAGTAAAAAGGATTAGCAGAGCCAAGAGTTGGTTCTTTGAAATGACTGATGGAATTCATAAACCCCCAACAAAAGTGACCCAGAAAAAAGAAGCACATAATTCGCATTTTAATCTCTAGTCTAGATGTTACTCGTTGTTCATTACTGTCTTCCTAGCCCACAAAGTACCTTTAGTATGTTAAATTGTTTTGGTGCCAACAGATTTTACCCACAGAGAACCACTTTGTTGGATACTATAAAACAATTATCTTTTAAAAGAATGGCTATTAAACCCTGTATCAGTGGTGGGAAACCACAGGTAACAGTGCCCAACTACCTGTTTTGCTAATATTTGACTAACTTTTCTCTATTTTGTAGGTGGTGTCGGATTTGACATCAACTGCGGGGTCCGTTTGCTGAGAACCAATTTAGATGAAGGTGATGTCCAGCCTGTGAAGGAGCAACTTGCCCAAGCTATGTTTGATCACATCCCTGTTGGGGTGGGATCAAAAGGTGTCATCCCCATGAATGCCAAGTAAGAAACCAAGTTACCAATAAATGGAGAAATAATAACTACAAGACTTTCAGTCATTTCCTTTGTAGGCCTCTTAGAAGATGGGGATTGTTCAGTCACTTTTCAGGAAGTGATAATAAATTGATTTTTTTGAGTATGAGCTCCATCCTGCTTTGAAAAGCATACCTGAAACATATAAATTCTAGTCGTCTTTATAGATATTTTAGATAGGAATTTTATCCTAATAAGTAAGTTTGACATGGGCTATAGCAGGGATGGAACATCGAACATTGTAATTTCTCCTGGTAGTGTTTTAGAAGAGGGCCAGACCTTATATGAAGATCAAAGCTTTTTCCTTCTAGGGGTTTAATGTGTGTGCACCTCAGCTTCAAAATGCAGGTGCAACAAAGCCACATAGTACTTCTGTGAAGATAGGAATAGAGCTTAAAATTTAACCTGTATCACCTGAGAATATTTAGATAGCTTTATTATTTGACCGTAATTTTTCATAAATCATTAAAGTGGGTAACTGGTAAAGTTAATAGTAGGTAGTGATATCTGATTATGATTATAAATTTTCTTTGGCCGCTTAATCACCACCTTATAGAATTTAGGGTCAGAGAGGCAAATGTAAATAAGATTTGTAAAATACAAGGGGTTGTATACATGTCAAGAGGAACTATAATCATCTCTGAAATGGCATTTACTGTTTTATATTGCAGTTATTTATGTAACTACTTTTCAAAGAACTAGAGTTACTGAGATCATAAACTTTGTATTTAGCTCAATGCCTGGTACACAGGTGATGTCATTACAGGTAGTGTTTCCTCTGCCCTTTGAGATGTAGTCATCCTTAGGTTTTGATCTGCCTTGGCTGCGAAATGACTGGCACCTTATTACTCACTCAGAGACTTGGAAGAGGCCTTGGAGATGGGTGTGGACTGGTCCCTAAGAGAAGGTTACGCCTGGGCTGAAGACAAGGAGCACTGTGAGGAGTATGGAAGGATGCTGCAAGCTGACCCCAATAAGGTCTCTGCGAGGGCTAAAAAGAGAGGCCTTCCTCAGGTAACACTCACTTCGAAGGGGCTCTATGTTCATTCTTTTAATATATTTTGTTTTTGCTGGGGGACAGGGAGAAATCTGTCTTCTGCGTAGCAAATATGTAGCCACAGGTTTTTTCACAGTATATCAGAACAAACACAAATTCGCTTGTTTCTCCTTTATTCTTACTCTTTTAAAAAAACTATTGGTAGCTTTTTGCATATGTTCATGAGATAAAACAAGATGTCATGAATTAGAAGTAGATGGGAGAAAAATGGGATATGCTTATAAGGCTTAAATGTATGCCAAAATTGCATATGTACATACTTTGACAATCTAAGATTTGGCTGGAAGTTTTCTGTTGTGTAAGGTGAAAAGAGATACCTTGTCAGTTCCTGGTATCCATGAGATAAGAATATCCCAGATGTTTGAAATTTGCTAATTTCGATGGCTTTGCCATTAAAGCACTGTGACCTTGGGCAAGTCTCTTTTGCCTATCCGGGTCTTGTTTTCTCATCTGAAAATTGAGATAGTTAAAGCTAGGCGAGCTCCAGTTATTAGCTCCAATTAAGGGATATGTTCTTTCAGTGATAGATAATGGTAGGTATCAGTGAACTCATAGATGTTTCAAAAATCATTTGAACTTGGACCTTGTGTAAGAGTCAGCATTCACCAAAGTTTATCCCAAAATTCGACCCTTCTCTGAGTGATGAAGAAAATGTCCTATGAGCTGCTTAATGGTCTGAGTTTCAGTTTATGAAGTTTTTAATATGTCTGTACTTCAACCAAATAATGATAACAGTAAACTACAGGAGCTGCTCTACATTATTTTTATTGTGTAAAATATTGCTTTTCTAGCCTTACGAAGCATTTCTTAATCTTAGAAAAATTTTTGTTACATAAAGTTATTAGTGTGGTTATTTTTTTATTGTTATTGTTGGTTTTTTGCTTTCTTGCTATGTAAATTGATTTTTTTTAATTGGTACAGAAGCTATTTTATCAGAAATTTCCGTATTTGCAGTTGGGGACCCTGGGAGCAGGTAACCACTACGCAGAAATCCAGGTTGTGGATGAGATTTTCAATGAGTATGCTGCCAAGAAAATGGGCATTGATCATAAAGGACAGGTGTGTGTGATGATCCACAGTGGAAGCAGAGGCTTGGGCCACCAAGTAGCCACAGGTATATTTTTTGGCTTGGTGCTAAAATCCACATTTTATGGGGAACCATATAGAGACTTAAGAGAGAAAGCTCTGGAACTATACTGTTTAGGTTTTTGCCCTAGTTCTCCTAAAGAGCAGTGTGACCTTGAATAAGTTTACTAGGCCTTAACTTTCTCACCTGAAAAAAAAATGGGAATAATAACTATTTCATATGGCATTGTCATAGATTAAATGAAATAATATGTGTAAAGTGTTTATGTCAGTGCCTGACACTTAGTACGTACTCAGTAAGTACTCAGTAAATATCGGCTCCAGTTATTTTGTTTACTCTTACAGATTGCTATTATTACTATCTGACCAAGAAAGCAAGAAAGACCTGAAGTTGTGAGATTATGTTGTAGACGTTAATTCAGCAAATATGTCTTAGACACCTATACTGCAAGATTAGTTGTTATAGTGGATTCAGTGATAAAAATAGGCAAGGACTCTGCCCTCACAGTCTCATGAAAGAGATGTGATGTTCATTAAAAAGAAAAGGTAAAGACCAGGTAATGCTTGATAAAATATAGAAGAGACTAAATAAAGTGATTAGGAAAAAGATTTCAAGATTTCAGAAGTGGCTTCATGGACACATAATGTTTGCAGTTTGAACAGTCATACACAAAGGACATTATGACCAAAAGACAGCATGAACAAAAGCAGGGAAATAGTAGGACGATCCATTTGGATGATTTTTGTAGGATGTGTGAAAGGATTTACAAATACACGAAGTCATAGAGACATATGGAAATTATTATAAACTTTAAATTGCATATAATGCATTTTTTTAATATACATTTCATCCTATGGGAATTTAATAGTTTGTGTCAGTTTGACCCATTAGAATATTTCATCTAGCAAATACATGGAGCATGGACTAGTATTTCTGAACTTTCTTCTGAGTACTTTTTTTTACATTCTGTCTTGGATTTGATTTTCCTACAGAAGACCTAGCAACTTTTATCTAGCTCTTTTACATTGTCACTGAAAATTATTTTTAAAAACCATGATGATGATAAAATGTATTTTACTACCTCTGTTCTTATTCATTCACGTGCCAGGAAAGGAGTAACTAAGACCATGTTGTTGCTGTTTGTGCAACACATCTCATCCCTTTAAAAGCTCCTGGCGGACAGGTGCTGTCTTTATAGCCTATATCGCTCCTGTCACACAGCTCTAACAGAAGATTCTCAATGAACATATCTTGACCAAGCAAGTAGATAAGTCTAAATTATAAAGAGAAAGCTTGCTGATTTGGACTTGTTGCCTTCATGTTCCAGATGCCCTAGTTGCTATGGAAAAAGCCATGAAGAGAGACAAGATTATAGTCAATGACCGTCAGTTGGCTTGTGCTCGAATCGCTTCCCCGGAGGGTCAGGACTACCTGAAGGGGATGGCGGCGGCTGGGAACTATGCCTGGGTCAACCGATCTTCCATGACCTTCTTAACCCGTCAGGTACAGTTGCAGCTGCTCTTGGTTCTTCACATGAAGCTAAGCGCTTCGAAGCAGTGTAGTCTAATCAAAGCCTGTAGAATTTGGTCTTGGATCATTGTTTAATAAATCTTCAAAATATTGGCAGAGTGTCCAAGCTTTTGATATCTCTTTAAACTAAATATGCAGACTGTCAGGCGTGGGGAATGAAGGAAGAGAGAAGCCAAAATTATTCCTGGGATTTTCCTTGAGTTGCGGCGAGAATAGACGTGCTGTTCACTGAGATTCAGAAGGCTATGGAAGAATCCGTTCTGAAGGGTGGGCTCAAGAGTAGCCATGGAATTTATGGAACGGAATTTCTCTGTGGTCTAAAAGATAGATTTTTGTCCTTTATATGAAGAATAATAATACTGCTGTTTTCGAACTCTTAAATCCCTCACTCCCTTCAAGAGCAGACTAACTGAAATCAATAAGTTCTGAGGAGCTGGTTCTGGCTGGTTTTAAGTTAAGCTTTTTCACTCAGGCTTTCGCCAAGGTCTTCAACACAACCCCTGATGACCTGGACCTGCACGTGATCTATGATGTTTCTCACAACATTGCCAAAGTGGAGCAGCACGTAGTGGACGGAAAGGAGCGGACACTGCTGGTGCACAGGAAGGGGTCCACCCGTGCTTTCCCGCCTCACCACCCCCTCATTGCTGTGGACTACCAGGTATGTCCTAAGCCACTGTGGCTTTAAGCAGTGGGGGCATGATTCAGAGAGTTCTAAGTAGGGGTGAATTTTAAACAGGAAAGCTGCAGTCGTGAAAAGAAAGTAATCTGTCATTCATGGGAACGGTGCCTTCTCTGAAGCAGCGACTTCCCCAGCGTCTGCGCTTGCAGCGTGCCGTCTGAAAAGTGCTACATGGAGAATATTTTACTCCATTAAGATGATTCAAGATTATCTTTTTAAGGCCTTTGAATGATTGGAAGGTTTAGATTAAATTCAGTCTGTTTCATTCTTATCCTTTTGGTGTCGGCTGTGATAGAATTAGAAAGACCTTTGACCTCCCATTTCATAGATGAAGAAACGGAAACCTGGAGAGGACAGCTGCCTACACAGGGGGGTTCTTCCTATAACACTTCCCTGCACGTTTGAAATTTGCTCTGCTCTTACATTCAGGCCGCCTTCTGCTGCCTTCCTGGTCCTTATATTTTCATTCCCTTCTTCCCTCCCTTCTCAATTATCCAAGGATCAAAACAATATCTTACTATAGTTATGAGAGTAATACATTTAGAGGCTCAGGTTTTCCCACAGTCCTTCAGTGCAAGAGGAAATATAAACCTGAGGCATAAAAAATTCATGCTTTTCAGAATTTTAACATGTTTGATTTGTGTCATCCTCAGCTCACTGGACAACCAGTGCTCATTGGTGGCACCATGGGAACCTGTAGTTATGTTCTTACTGGCACTGAGCAGGGCATGACTGAGACCTTTGGAACAACCTGTCACGGAGCGGTAAGGAAAACAGACTTACTTCAATTTAGTCATTATTTTGCATTTCAACAGGTAAACATACTTGATTGAGTATCAACAAAGTTGAGGTTTGAGTCTGTCTTCTATCTGAATATATTCCCATAGTATGTACTGTCTGTCCAGTGAGGTCATCTGGTATCTACATTAGCGGGGTTATTGTCAGGCCGGGGACTGTTTCTCATCTCTACAAGTCCACAAAATCCAAACAGGAATAATCACTCTGGCATAACTGATATAACTTTAACTGATGCAGATTTACATTAGAACTTATCTTACTCAGTGGACCTACTCATTTGCATGGTTTGCTCTTTATTGGATGGGCCCACTCAAGATTTGGGGAATGCGCCCTATTTGCAGATCAGAACCCATGTGTAGAATGCATAGCTATTTGAACATACTGCTTTTTTCCTAAGCCAGGAGTTGCTAAACTTTTTCTGTAAAATGCCAGACAGTAAGTAATTCAGGCTTTTTTGGGCCGTACGGTCTCTGTAGCAGCTATTTCATTGTACTGAAAAAGTAGCCATAAACAATATATAAACAAATGGGCATTGCTATGTTCCTATGAAACTTTATTTCAACAAACAAGTGTTGGCAAGGATGTGGAGAAAAGGGAACCCTCATGCACTGTTGGTGAGATTGCAAAATGGTGCAGCTGCTATGGAAAACAATCTGGAGATTCCTCAAAAAATTAAAAATAGAACTACTGTATGATCTAACAACTCCACTTCTGGGTATTTATCCAAAGAAATCCAAAACACTAACTTGAAAAGATACATGCATACCTATGTTTATTGCACTGTTATTTGCAATAGCCAAGATATGGAAGCAACTTAAGTGCCCTTCAATAGATGATTGGTTAAAGAATAAGTACATATATACAATGGAATATTACTTGGCCATAAAAAAAGTGAAGGAAATCTTACCACTTGCAACAACACTGGTAGACCTAGAGGTTATTATGCCAAGCGAAATAAGTCAGAGAAAGACAAATACCATATGTTTTTATTTATATTTGGAATCTAAAGAACGAAATTAATGAAGAAACAACAGAAACAGATTCATAGGTACAGAGAACAAACTGATGGCTGCTGGATGGGAGGGATTTGTGGGGCTGGGTAGAAAACGTGAAGAGATTAAGAAGTGCAAATTGGTAGTTAGAAAACAGTAACAGGGATGTGAAGTACAGCTTAGGGAATGTAGTCAGTAACACTGTAGTAACTGTATGGTGCCACATGGGTACTAGACTAGTTACGGGGTCACTTGTCAGGGGGATCATGAATTATATAAATGTCTAACCACTATGCTGTACACCTGAAACCGATATAAAATAATATTGAACATCAATTTTAATTGAAAAAAATTTTTTTTAACTTTATTTACAAAATAAGGTGTAGGAGATCAGATATGGTCCACAAACCAATTTGCCAAAGCCTGCTCTAAGCCATCAGAGCGCTTAGCTAGTGAGGGAGTGGAAAGTAGAAACTATCCAGAATACCTTCTCATAGGACATACCCTCACAAATATATTTTAATTCTACCTTTTTCTCTGATCTTTTCACATTTCCAGCTACCTCCCAACTACTGATTTTAGCCCAGTGATCAAAATTAGTGTAACTTCCCCCCCCCAAACACACACACCCATTAACAATGTCTGGGGGCATTTTTGATTGTCACAATGGGGGAGGGGTGTTTTGCCACTGGCATCTAATGGGTAGAGGCCAAAGATGCAGCAAAACATCCTGAAATGTACAGGACAGTCCCCACCATAAAGAATTATCCGGTCCAAAATGTCAGTACTGAGGTTAAGAAACTATTCTAAATCACAAAAAGGACAAGGTTTTTGTGATGGCAGACATACTGTTTATAATTTAAAATGTATGTTGAATTGATAATAGTAATTAGAAACACAACACTAAATCTTTAAGTACTAAATGCTTTGTATAGATTGAAATTTGTTTTCCAAAAGAATATAAGGTTCGTAATAAAAGGTACATAATAAGGTTGATAAAATAGAAAAAGATGTCTTTTAACTCCTTTTTTTAGTTTAAAAAGAAGTCAAGGAAAGGGCATATAATCCTAAAGCTTTAAATAATTTCTGGGATTGCACATAAATTGTAGCTCAGAATTTATAAAGTGAAGTTCTTTCCTTTCCCAATCTAGGGCCGTGCATTGTCCCGAGCAAAATCTCGACGTAATTTAGATTTCCAGGATGTCTTAGACAAATTGGCAGATATGGGAATTGCAATTCGTGTTGCCTCACCAAAACTGGTTATGGAAGAGGTAAGTGAAATTTTTGTAAGTATTCAGCATAAAACTTTATGATTTATGCCAGTGCACAGAGGTAGTAATTTTTGATACTACAAATAGAGATTACGTTTACTTGTTTGTTTGTTTTAATAACCTCAGGTACAGTCAATCATTGTCTTCCATTTCGTTTGGAGATTAATTATAAGCCAAGTCCTTAAGAATGATTTTTACCTTTCATGTATAGTCTCTGTTTACATGTTGAGCTTTAAAAATAGTTTGAGCTCGCTCATTTTTACCTTTCTTTTACACAACTGTACACTTAACCTTTAAATTTGAAAGCAGATTTGAAAAAGCAGGGGGAAAATGTTTGAGGAAACAGTTTTGTTTGATTCAAAAGGGAGCAAAGATTTTGTTTAAATTATATATATGTGTATATATGATATGTATGTATATATACGTATTTACATTAAAAGCAGCATAACTTTTTAAAAGTTTAAGAGGAGAGAAAAATAGTCATCCAGAAACTCAGTGTCCTAACACAACTGTTATCTCTTTTTGTAGGATACTTATTGCCATTTTTTCCTCTAAATGCTTTCTTCAAAACTAGTTAAAATCATTGTTTATAAACATCTTATGGTCCTTTTTTGAATCTAGAATATTATATTGTTTGTGTCACTTTTTATGATTGTTGAATAGTCTACCAGCTAAATACCATAAGTTTCTGCCTATATTGGACATTTAAGTAGCTTCCAAATTTTTGATACTATAAGTTGTAATGAGTGTCTTTATGCATGAAGCTTTTTCGCAGATGTTTTAATGATTAGAATGAAATCCTAAAAGTAGAATTACTGAGTCAAAGAGAGTATGACAAAGCCTTGTTTGCTAATAACCATTAATTTTACCCTGATTTTAAGAATAATGTGCATTTAATTAAGAGGTTTTAGAAAATACAAAGAAGAAAACAGAAAATATCCAGAATTCCACCAACCAGAGATAACCATTGTTAACATTTGGAATATGTTTTACTTGCATGTTTTGAAATATTTTTTTTATTCACTCATTCAGCTAACACATATTATTAAATATCTGCTATAGTTGGGTACTGTTCTAGGTGCTAGGGATACTGCCGTGAACAAAACTAACATAAATCCCTTCTTTGTGAAACTTACCAAATCGTAAGATGTACAGTGTGTTAGATAATAAGTGCTACAAAGCAAAAATGGGAAGGGGGATAGGCAGAGACTGGGAGTGGATGCAGTTTTAAACAGGGTGTAGTAAGGTGATATTTGAAGAGCTGAAGGGAATGAGAACGGGCTGTGGATATCCAGAGTAAGCTTTCTAGGCAGAGAGAATAATAGCAAGCACAAAAATCCTCAGGCAAGATTATGCTTGGATATTCAAGAAACCACAAAGAGGCTGTGGCAAGAGCAAGCAAGAGGGAGATTAAGTCAGAGAGCTAGGGGGTGCCAGATTATGTGGGTCCTTGTTTTTACCTTTACAAAAAGTTTTGCTCTTATTCCGAGTGGGATGATGGGAAGACATTGGAGAATTTAGAACAGAAAATAACAATCTGACTAATGTGTCTGCGTGCTGATAAGAAGAACCTAAAAGAGGAATTAAGGATGCAGACAAGAAGGGGGGAATAACTGAAGCAGTGTCCTTGAGTAGATGAGAGGAGATGGGATCTGGCGTACAAGTAGATGGGGCTGGCCTTTGCTAGGAGCTCAGACAGTTCATCCTTAATAAAAGGAAAGAAGGTATGAATGCAGATAGTCAGGAAAGAAGATATGATGAGAGAGTTTATGTTCTGGTTGTTTCTGGGGTTTTTTGCCCACCTTCCCCCTGCCCGCCTGTCCCCCCTCTCCCCGCAGTGTACTAGGAAGTAGGACCAGCAAGAGTGAGGGTGCAGGAGAAAGTATGAAATAATCATGTAAGAAAGAAAAGAGTAATTGGCCTAGTGAAATTGGGATAATTGCCAGGACCACACCAAGGGCCCACTTGAGCTAAATTCAGTGGTTGAGTGTTGACAGCTACATTCAGATGTATAGGTGCAGGTATGAAATGGATGTTGAGTTTTTTTTAACCAGAGTTGCAAGTACGACGCACTAAAAGAGAAGCGGGGTTGAGGGTGTTGCAGAGGAATTGTAGGTCTCATAGGATTAAAGCATTTTGGACATAGACCACAAGGGGGAGTGAGCTGGAAACCAGGCTTGAAACAGATTATGAAAGAGTTTAATTGTTGATAGTGACGATTTCTGGAGTATGACCCTGGGAGTGAATGGCTAGGTAAGCATTGAAGGAGCAGAAGTCAAAGAACTAAGAGGCCAAGGTACTGGCCTGGAAATTGAAATCACTCAGAATTAAAGAATGACAATGAGTCAGGAGCTAGAAATCATCATATAATGATGGGGAGTGATACAGACTCTAGCAGGTAGTTGCAACAAGAAGACGTCACAGGTGGTATAAATGATGACTGCAAGATTCAAAACTGGGAGGTGTTTAGGGAGGAAGGACGGGGAATGGTCTTGAAAGAACTGTGAAGAGCAAGGACACCTGTTCCACTTCTCAGCCTAATGGCTTGACGCAGTTTGAGAGAGAAGACAGCTGTCGCTTCAGAAAGTTGGAGGCAGTAGTAACATCCTCAGGGGAGATCCATGCTTCAGCAAGGACAGGAAGGTGAAGGGAATATTTAAAGAAGAGTGAGAGGATATTGCACTTGACTCAGTGGAAGGAGTTTCAGAGGCCACAGTGGAAAAAAGTCTCAGAAATTAGAAGAGAAAGGAGATGGGCCAGAAAGGGGTATGTACAGAGCCATGTGGGAAAAAGTCTGGGAGGCCTAAGCTTCCTGTGTTGACCTGAATGGGAATAAAGGGTATGTGTGATGAGATTCAGTCTATGGTAGCAAGGTGGCGAGAAATTCATGGAAGTAAATTTGTGTGTGTATACATATATACAGATACACATATAGTGTTAGTTATATATACGAGTTTAATAACTTTCCATTATTGTGAAGGTAACACGTTTATTCCAGGAATTTTGACAATTGTAGAAATCTGTAAGGAAAGAAAATCAAAATTGCCAATAACTCCAACCATCCAAGGATAATTACCACTAACAGGATGGTTTGGTGCATTTCCCTCCAACTGGTGTATATCACGTTTATTGCTTTTCTTAGTTATACAAGTGAAAAATGTTCTTTAGGGAAATTTTGAGAAATACAGAAAAAATATAAAACAAGATAAGGGTGTTTATTTGACTACTCCCTTACCAACACTGAACTTAATCATCTTTTTAATCTTTGCTTGTTCAATAGGGGGACAAAATCTGAGTGTTGTTTTGATGTGAATATCTTTAATTATAACTGAAGTTTAATGCTTTTAAAGGTCCCATTTTAAGTAGACTTTTACAATGTTGAACTGCACCCCCGCAGGCTCCTGAGTCCTATAAGAATGTGACGGATGTGGTGAACACCTGCCATGATGCTGGAATCAGCAAGAAGGCCATTAAACTGAGACCAATTGCCGTTATCAAAGGATAGGACGCTGACCGTGGCCACCAGACACCACCGACCCTCACTGAGGTAGAAGTGGACTGAAATGCTTTTCGGACATCAGACTCAAGAGACCCGACAGGTTCCAAGGCTTGTGTCTGTGGCTGCCCATTCCAAAATGGCTGACAGAAGGCTGCTGCTTCAGGGGCCATGGTTGTGCCATTACCTTCAGGGAGGAGTCACGTTGCCCCCATTTGGGAACAGATGTGATCTTCCTCCCTGGTAGTCCCACAGATTTTTAGGGAAATCTAGGCGGGTGGGGATAGGTCAGGAAACTGCCTTACTGAGTCATACAAGTCTTTATCTTAATCATCAGAATGGACTTCTCAACACCTAGCTCTCGCTCCATCCTGAGAGGTGTCATGAAGAACATTCTATTAAATAAGAAGGTTTTGGAATATTTTCTTGCTGCTCTCCTTTTGTCACTTTGTTTATTCATCCACCATCTATCCCCTTTTCCTGCACTGAGCAAAACCCTAAATAGCACTCTTAGTACCTACGGGGTCATTTCAGGATATTAGATGAACGCATAATGGGACATATAAAGGAGGGAATATGTGGAAGTGTAGGAATAGGGACCCAAAAGATAAAATAATTTTTCATAGACTTGCTACCTTTCTCTTTCTAAATGTAAGGCAGAGTTTTGACTTACCTGCAAAATGGCATCAGCTAGTATCTGTCATTAATTAGGCCTGGTCTGGAAAACTTTTGTTGAATAACAGTTTGCACGGCAGCAGCAGAGAGCCACGCATAACACTGAATATCTTTACATTGGTGATCCAAGTATTATGAAAGCAGTAAATGACCACATCTGTTAATGGTTGCTGTGCTGACAGATTGACTGGTCTTGGGCGACCTCATTAGATTTCATGTTATATACTGTGACACCTCAAAGATGTTAAATAATATGGGTTATTAAGGCCTTGGTTGAGTCCAAATAGCCAGTATATAATAGAAAATAGAAAAATAGAAAAATTTAATAAAGTTTCAATATGTTCTTTATATTTTGGGCTTAATAATTTATAGCTTAGGACAGTTAGTATCTATACTTGAATCACTTTGGACAGCGTTGCTATTTTCTGATTTTCTCCCAAGGTGCTTTCAGAGACTCACCCTAAAAAATATTCTTTCCTAAAACTTATCCCTCAACTTAACTCCCCATTGGAGTATCTTCTAGATGCTATTTGGAAGGCTGGAGAAAAGTAGACTTCCTCTGAAAAGTGTATGATATGAAATAATAGCATGTCTTTAATCTGAGCACTCAGTAACTTAAAATACTTTTGATGGTAGAGTTTGAACGTTATCAATAAATAAGTTAGGAATCTTAGCACAATAATTGTAGGTCACTTATACCTTCAGATCAGACCAGTGACTGTTGTACACAAATGACTTAAGGATACAAGTTACCAGTGAACGCTGGAGGGCGTTTAGAGATGAGAAAGAGGCTTCTGGCAGGTGCTAGATTCTGTGGAGATGGGACAACACTGGCGTGTCTGTGTAGGCACCCTCTCACTGAGCTTGCCTGATGACTAATTCAAAGCAGTGTCCCAAAACTAACTGACGTCAGTGCAAGAAATGCTGCAGATCCACTTTATTAGATGTCTTGAAAGTTACTCTTCAGAGAGGTGAGGAGGAGAAATAAAGAAAATGAATGGTTTATGCAGTGGCATTTCTGCTGTCTAAGCGTTTCTATGTGTAGCATTTCCAGTGAAGTTGGCCCTATTAATGATCATAGAAAGAAGTGGTTAATATTTTGAGTTCAAAAAGAAAGGTGCAAACATTATTTTCTTTGTTCTAAAGATATTTTCCAATTTGAGACAAAAAGCCACTTTAAAATAAATGTTCAAATGAAGCTGAAGTAACCAGCTGTTTTTATTGCCTGGAGTAAAAATACATGTGCACAGCTGGGACTGCCCTTTGATAAGGCACCGTCTGCTTCTCTCAGGTATGAAGACGAGTCTTAACACTGTGCACATCTTGATCCCTTTTTCAGGCATCTAAAGTCAGTCGGTTTATAATTAATATTCTCAAAAGCACTGACATTCACACACTGATAATAGGCTGTATCATTCAATTATCAGCATATGGTTAGGAAACCCAATTCATGAGACAAAAAAATATGAACACTCATTTTCCAACTTTGTGAATATTTCATGGAGCAACAAGGAAGTGAAGATTTAAATATTGAATAAAATTTTCCAGATCTTAAGACTTGCCCACGTTGATCTTCATATAACCTTTGAAAACTTGAGCACAAGATAACGTTTTTTAGCTTTTTCTATTTTTTCTGCTTAAGATTTCATTTTTTTCCTTCATGTTCATCTTGAAGTATTTCTCTTATTTATGAAAATTGCTTGTTAGCATCATCTGTATGACAGAAACATTTACAGCTCTGTGCCTGATACTCCAATGCCCAACTCACAGCCCATTCTGTCCTTATTTCTTACTTATGTTCTTATTTTCGCATCTGTTCCAGTGCTAAACTATATGGGAATTTCATGTTGTCCAGAGAGCATGTTGTGTGCTATTAATTATCAGTCAGGCACCTTGGAGTATGCCAAGTCCTTATGCCAGATTCTGATCTTTAAAAGCTCTTGCTCTAAAACTACCATCTGAAACACCAGAGATCCAAGACGATTATGTTATAAGGGAGTCGTGCTACAGAGAAGTGAATGGTGATTTCGATTGTAACTTGCAGATAGGTAGTAAATGAACGAAGTGCCAAGCATTAGATAATGACATTTAACATGACCAATGGTGGGACTAGTGTTATCTGGTGTGAGGCAGAGAGGAACACAGCATCATCTCTGAGATGTTCCTGTTGAGAATATACGGCCTGAGTCTGGTTGTGAGCAAACATCAGATGGACCCAAATAAAGGGCCCTCCTACAGAAAGAAGGCCTGTGCACTCAAAACGCAAGGAAATGAAAAGCCAAGGAAAGGCTGACAAACTGTTCCAGAGTCTGAACAAACATGACAACTGAAGGAAGGCAATACATATTCTTAGACAGGATCCTGGACCAAAAAGGAAAAACTGACATTGTTGGAACAGTTGGTGAAAATTGAATAGGATCTGTAAATGGGTCAGTAGTGATGTCAAGGTTGATTTCTTGATTTCTTGGTTATGCAGGGTAGTGTCCTTGTGTGATATTGTGATTATATAATAAATCTGTTTGGTCTTCATTTCATTTCTGGCTCAGAGTTTCTAAAACCCTTGGAATTTCCTAAGTGGTAAGAAAGATATTCATAACAAGCCCCTTTCAGCTACACCTGAGTTTATGTTAATGAGGTGACTTTTGGAAAGCCCTTGAGGATGGGGTCTGGTGGCAGGAGAACCAACCATGTGATTAAGGGTTAGAACTTTCAGCTCCACCCTGACCTCCAGAGAGGAGAGAGGGCAGGAGATTGATGTCAATCACCAATTACCAGTGATTTAATCAATCGGTCCTAGGTAGCGAAGCCTCCATAAAAACCAGATGGACAGGGTTCCCAAAGCTTTCAGACTGATGAACCAGAACGTGTTTCTGTGCCCAGAGGGTAGTGTATCGCAAACTTCTAGGACAAAAGCTGCTGTGTTTTCAACCCTTCCAGGCCAACCCCTATGTATCTGATCCATCTGACTGTCGTTCATTCATATCCATTTATATCCTTTGTAATAAAATGGTGATCTAGTAAGTAAACTGAGTTCTATGAGCTGCTCTAGCAAATTAATCAAGCCCGAGGAAAGGGTTATGGGAACCTCCAATTTATAGCCAGTCAGTCATAAGCACAGGTAATGACTTGAACTTGGATTGGTGTCTGAAGTCTTGTGGGACTGAGCCCTTCACCTGTGGAATCCGAGGCTATCTCCAGGTCCATCGTGTCAGGATTGAGTTAAATTGTAGGACACCTAGTCAGTGTCCACTGAGAACTGGAGAACTGCTTGATGATGTTGCAGAAAACACACATTGGACCTTGTTTGGAAGCAGTACATCCTGGGGCGCTTAAAGATGCAGAAAACAACTAACGATAATTAGTACTTTATTCAGAGTAGACAAAGGAGCAAATTCGGTAAAATATAAACAGTTGGGAAATGTGAGTAAATGGGGATATGGGAGTTCTCTATACTATTCTAGCAACTTTAAGTTTGAAATAATTTAAAAATAGATTGATAAATAGATAATTTTAAAAAAGAATGACATCTCATATACCAAGTATGGTAGGTCATTTGCCAACACAGCCACAATAATTTCTGCTATTCTGGATGCCTCTTTGCAATGTGGTTTTGCAGTCTCTCCCATCAAAAAGTGGACTCTGTTTTCCTTCTCTTGATCTGCACGGGCCTTTTGACTTGCTTTGACCAAAATAATGCACATGCGTGACTCCTGAGCCTTTGGCCTCCAAAGGCCTGGCAGCCTCCAGGAGATTATCAGACCTTGAGGACGAAGGACCACATGGAGAGGGTCCATCATAGGCCATTCGGTAATTCCAATTATTTCTCAATTGTGAGACGTAATGTAACTTTTGGAGTGGCTTATTATACATCAGAAAACTTAGCATGTTACTGTTTCCACCATTACACTTAAGGATTTAATCAACATCAACTGACTTTATGTTGAATGGAATTTTTCCTGAGAGTAAACAGTAGTCGTATATCTCTGCAAAGCTATCCCTATCTTCCATTAGAGAATTAATTTACACAGATTAATAGTGATGATAGCACTTTCTAGTTTATAGAGATTTTAGACTGATGTAGCCTCATTTCACCTTTACCATGAGATGGAATAGGTGTCACTATTCTTAATTTTACAGATGAAGAAATAGGTTCAGAGAGGTCATGCCACTTGCCCAAGGAAACACAGCTAAAGTCAGGACCGGAATCCAGGTCCTTAATATTTGGTCAGGGTAGAGTTGAAGTTGTGGGCCTTCTGTAGAAAATGCTTTGCTCTCCCTTCAGATGTCAAACCAGAATTATATAAGGAAGTGTTCTAATATTCTGACTCAACCTTGGTTGCTATCAATGCCAATGGGGCTTGAGGGGAATCCTCTAAACAGCCAGGGCCCTAAATGCACTTTATTCTACTTGTTCTTCATTTTTTTTAACATGGATATTGAGCTAGGAGTATGGTGACCATGGGTCTCAAAAAAGAAGAGCTCGCAGGGGAAACTTAATGCTGGTCTTCAAACATGTTTTTATGATTGACAGTTATCTAGTCATTTGAATCTGCACAGGGCTGCTTCAGAACAGTGTAAGAAGAGATGTTGGAAATAAGTGAAAAGTAATTGAATTACAAAAATCTTGGCTTTATTTTTATTCTTAGCATTATCACCACCTGAAACATTATTTATGCTTGTGTATTGACTCTTCCTAATATTATACTCCATGTGGGTAATCAGTAAATATTTACTGATTAATGACTGTTCGAATGGACAGATGGATAAAGACCAAGGAGACACAGTTTGCTATCACTCCTCCGTATAAATTACTTCACTCACCTCTCTAAGCTTCAGTTTCCTCATCTTTAAAACAGAACTGATATATAGTAATACGTACTTCATAGGAATGTTACGAAGATCGGATGAGAGTAATACATGTAAGGGCCAGCCTGCTTTGTGGTAGGCCCTCAAGAAATATGGGCTGGTGGAGAATTTCTGTCCCTATTTTAAAAGAGAAGGGATATGCTTCTGCCTTGTATGGTTTAATCCTTCATTTCTCTAAAACCCCCAGGGTTGAATCAGGTCATTTCCCAAGGCCCTTTCCAGTCCTAAAAACTGAGATAGGATTTCTTCTTCAGAGATTTTCCCTCTGTCAGGGAAATGAGAACTGTCTTCAGGAGCGGCCCCCTCAAGGCTTGCTCTGCAGGCAGAAACCAGTCTGGAGAGTTGTTGTATGTCCGGACACACCTCCTTCTGCAGCAGCTGGGGTTTCACTTTGGTTAATGACAATGAGTCACCCAACATGAAAAGGCCGCTGACAGATTTTCACCAAAGGACGCAGCTAAATAGCTACGAAAGGATTAAAAACCAATCTCAACCCCCAGACAGCCTGCGAGTCAAACACAACACAACTCAGCAATAATAATCAAAGAGCTGGAAATAGTTTTATGGGTTCCTGGGCCAGTAAAGAAAATACAAAGCAACTTTAGGCCCCCTGCCCTCCCCCAGCAGCCTGTCCGCCTGACAGGATGAAAGGGTTGGCGATGGCTGGTACAGAAGGGTGGAGAGCAGTCGCTGGGGCTTCTTAATCCATTTTTGGAGATGACAATCATGACTTTGGGAGTTTTGAAGGAAACCTTGGTCTAGACAGAAAAAGCTCAGCTTTTGAAAAGTACCATCTGACACCTTGGTTGGCTTGGTTGTGGCTGAGTCATGGTGACTCATCCTATGCAATGCTTTCCCAGCCTGATGAGGCTTTGCTTTCAAATTTAATTTAAGGCTTAAAGCACCTGGAGTCAGGTGAATGACAATTAAGCTCAATTGTCCAGGGTTGAAGTTATGCTACCGACAGATCAAAAACTGCTGGTCAAAGGAGCAGACCAGATTTAAATGACTGAAGGACATCTCGATTCTACTGTCCTCCAAACCCTGTTCTTTTTCCCCAGGTTATTTTATTCTCTTTCCCCTATCCCCAGAAATTCCACAAAGGGAAGAAAATAGGTACCGTTTTCTTTCTCTCCAGCCCCCAACCAATACTCTGTATTGGTTGGTCTGTTGACATTTTGCTAACTGAGAAGGGTATTATTTTTTAAACTCAGAAGCCATGGACAAAAGTAAATTAATAAATTATTGAGCATCTGTTGTTCGCTGCCAGACTCTTGGGCAAGGTGCATATGTTATCTTTGTCTCATATAACAAACACTGTAGAACTCCCCAGAGTTACCTGTAGTCACAAAACTATGAAATATGGAATAAATACAAATATTTTAAATTTTGTGTCATCACAGAGGAGATTTGTGGCAACTTTTTAACTAAGTCGTTAAAGACTGTTAACAATGCTTTTGAAAGTAGGCGTTACCTAAGGAACAATACTAAACCCGTATAGTCACACTTTTCACAGTCCCCATTTTCATCGCTGTTACCTGCACATGGCAGACCCTGCTCCATCTCCTTCATGACTTCAACACCTACCTTAGTCTTCACCTGAATCCGTCACCTTCCAACTACCTGACCTCCCAATTCTTTAATCTCTCCAGTTCCTAGGACTTCACCTCCATTTGACTTCAGACTCCTTGAAGCCTTGTCACCTGTGAGTCTTTGAATCAACTAGGACTTTCAGCTGTAAGGCCTCAGGCTCAGAACTATCTTTGATAAACCATCTTTTCCTCCAACTGGTTTCCCTTTGCTCCACCTCAGTTCTCTTTCTCGCTTCCCTGTGAAATATCTTGAAAGGGCAATCTTCGTCTTACCTCTGCTTTCTCATCCCACCCCTTTTATGCTCTTATAAAGGTCTCTAGAGGTTTTTTACTGGCTAAATCTAATGGGTTCCTCTACCACTTCAACTCTCTGACACCTCCGATTCATAGGACCCTGTCACACTTCCTCCTTATAAAATGATATCCACATTTAATTGCCATGATCTCCTACTAGCCCTGGTTTTCCTTCTAACTTCTTAGTTCTTTCTCTTCAAAGACATTTTTTCTGCCACTCTCCTTCAGGGCAGGCCTGCTCTAGCTTTCTTCTCTTGTTCTCATCAATATTCTCCCTGGGAGCTCTCACCTATTTCTATTACTATCTATATGTATGCGACTCAAGTCTATGGCTTTGACGACCCTCTTGGCCTTGACACCAGCATTTACAACTGCTTATGGACAGGAGTAGCCTATCAGTACTTCAAACCCAGCATCTCCAAAACAAGACTGGGACTTTTAAATCTTCTCTTTCTGTGGTCCCCATTTCAGTTGATGGGAACTTCCCAGAGGTGTCTTTAACTTCTCTCTCTTCCTCATCCCTCATCCCTCTTCTCTGAGTTTCAATGCTACTCCCACGTGGTCTCCCAGTCCATCCCGTCCTTCTCATTCCCACTGCCACTGACTAAAGTTCTCACTTCCTCTCTTAATTATTGCAATACCAGATTGGCTGGCTGCTTCCTGCCACTACAGTGAGTGATCCTCAACCACAGCGCTAAACAGTTTACCCTCTTTCCAAACCAAAAAAAAAAAATCAATAGTTCCCCATTGTCTAAAAAATAAAGTTCAGGGTTTTTTTTAGCCTGGCTTTCAAAGCCTTCTAGAACCTTGTCTCAGCCATCAGTTCTGGTCTCCTGTTAACTCAGCTTCTACTCTCCAAACACAGCTGCTTTTCTAGGCATCTCTGTTCCCCTTGGACCTTCTGCCTGGAATTCACATTCCATTTTCACCTGCCCAATGCTGCAGCCCCCAAAGCTTCCCCTCCTAGTTCTCTCCTGACTGGAAGTTGGAACAAATCCCTCTTTTCTCTGCATCCTCATAGCATTTTTCACTTTGGACATCAGTTAAACCACTTATACCTTTTTTACCTTGTGTTCAGGCAAAATGGGTCATTTTTTCCTCCAGACTGTAAGTTTCTTTATAAATTTCATTTAACAAAAGATTATGATGCCTTTTTTTTTTTTTTTTTTTACATCAGACATTATCTAGAACTCAAAAAGAGTAAGCTGCAGCTCTGGATCTTTCTAGTGGGAAAGAGGCTACAGAAAGAGCCGCTATGCCACGTGGAGGAAATGGGTACACGGGCATGTTTCACGTTTCCCTCAGTCTAGAACTTTTCACATGCCAGACGAGTGGCATTTCAAGCTGTAAGGCTTAAAAGATGATGCAATCTAATCTTCATGTGTCCTGGCATAGGGAACTGAGACCAAAGAAGTTAGGGACTCACCCAAGGTCACTAGGTCAATGAATGGCAGAGCTGGACCAAAACCTAGGCCAGGGCACACTGTCATACGCCGTCACAGCCCCTCCTTCTTTGTTTGCAGCAATTAATTAGGGTTATGAACCACAGGGAACATTCTACAAGCAATAAATTAGAATCAATGGCTATGTCTGGGCTGAGTGGCCAAAAAAAAAACAAAAAACAAAATGGGGAAGATCTTGAAGGCCCTGTAAATGTTTCCCCTTCAATGAATGCACCATTTTCATAAAACTCCCCTCTATTGCTTCTGCATAACTTGGCAATTAATTTTGTTCATGTCCGGTATTTTCAATGTAGGATCTTTGCTGTAGATACCTTTGCCGCAAGCGTTTTTACTGCAAACGGTTTCACTGCATAACTAATAGGCCCTAAGGTAATTTTGCCGTAGAAAGGATAAAGTCATGAAAAATAAAAGAGGGACATTAATTAAGTAAAGGACCTAAGAAAATCAAAAGGAGTTCATTGTGAGATACAAAATATTTGAATACATTTAAAATGTGTATAGATTCATGGGAATACTATGCAAATAATTGATTTTATTTTGTGGATTGTACCTAGACACCTGTTCTGTGGGAAATGTGGGTTCAACTGTGCACTCTCACAGAGGGTCCTCAGCCTTCCTTTCTCCTCCCAATGTGGTGAGTTTTAAAATAAGAAAACAAATCTTGGGGCAAATCATCCTCATTTGAAAGAAATGCTAACTATGTTAAGACCATTGCCACCATCACATCTTCTCGTCACTGTATTGACCACTATGAGGGCTAGATAAGATCAGTATGTCATATGAAAATGGGAGTAACTGAAAACTTGTCAGTGGAGAAATGAAACCAAACTGACAACTAGCTTAAATACATTAAGTCAGATGAACGCAGTTGATTTGTCCATGGAGAAATGAAACCAACCAACCAACCAAACATAACCCAAACTGTCGACCTGTTATTTTATATTTTTTTCTTGCAAAATTGCCTTATGGCCAATTAGTTATGTGGTGAAAATGTTTGCAGCAAAAACGATTGTGGCAAGGATGCTAAGGCGAAAGTACCCGGGATCAGTTTTGTTCTTTTTGAAAGTGAAATGGTTCTGTGGTTAATTAAGCATTCATTCACAGGAAAGCAGAAGACTGAACGTTTTAAAAGGTCTCATTCCTAGATTGGTGCTCCCCCTGTAAGCCATCAGGAAGGTTCCAGAAAAACTGCCTGATTTTTTTTTCCTCTAAAAAAAGTTATATGATTGAGATGAAATTTTAGTTTATTTTTTTCCAAAAGGTTTCTCAAAACAACAAGTATGGGCAAGGAAGTGGAGAAAAGGGACCCCTCATACACTGTTGGTAGGATTGCAAATTTGTACAGCCACCATGGAAAACAGTCTGGAGCTTCCTCAAAAAAAATTAAAAATAGATCTACCTTTTGACTCAGCAATTGCACTTGTGGGTATTTATCCAAAGAAAACCAAAACAATAATTCGTAAAGATCTGTGCATCCCTGTCTTCATGGCAGCACTATTTATAATAGCCAAGATATGGAAGCAACCTAAATGCCCATCAACAGACAATTGGATAAAGAAGTTATGGTTCATATATACAATGGAATATTACTCAGCCATAAAAAAATCCTACCATTTGCAATGATATGGATGGACCTAAAGGAGAGTGGAATTAGACAGAAAGATAAATACCATATGATTTTACTTATGTGTGAAATTTAAGGAACAAAAGGAACAAACAAAAGGAAAACAGACCCACAAATACAGAGGACGATGAGGTGATGGCCAGAGGGGAGTTGGGTTGGGGGCTGGGAGAAAGGAGTAGAGGGTTAAAGAAGTACAAATTGGTAGTTGATAGATGGTCACGGGGACGGGGAGCACGGCAGAGGGAGTGTAGTCAGCAGTAAGGTAATGGCTGTGTGTAGAGCCAGAGGGAAGTATTCGGGGGATCGTTTCATAAACTGTATAAATGTCTAAGCAACGTACTGCATACTTGAAACTCATTTTTTAAAAAAAAGTTTTCTAGAAAATCATTGCCTTATTCTCAAAAGGGCTTCAAACAAAATCACATTAAAAGTCTCTTGAAGAATTTTATCCAGAATAAAGTTTTCTTTTAAAATTCTCTTTTTATAAGCCACTCATCTCAGCAAAGTATATTTTTTCACTGATTTTATACATTATTTAAAGAAGGAAATGAAGAGTCTTTCTTTTTTTTCCTGCATTTATAAAGCAATCACATAGCTTGTGTAGATTAAACAAAATATACTCTCTTATTGTTATTATTCCTACTTTAGAAAAGTAGCAAGGTACTAGACCATAGCTGGGGCAGAATAAAGGAATAGAGAGTGTGATTACTGTCCAACCAAGACCCCTAAAAATGTCTCTCGAGTTTCTTAGGGACCCGGTTAATTAACATCTCCTCCAGCTCATCCAAGAAGGTAATATGAATGCCCCTCCCCTGCCTTTTATCCCTAATTAATAAATATATCTCACCAAGGCTTGCTTCATTGAAACTCCCATATGAAATAACAACCTGCCTAGAGACTAAAATGGACATATTGTAGGAGTGTGTGAAGTTGTAATTAAGTGATGGGTAAGAGAAAACAGTTCTTACATCTTGTTCATTCAAACCCAAAGGCTCCCCCCGTTCTCAAGAAAAAGGAAAGTTGCATTATGAATCACTGCACAGTATTTATCTGCACAGCTGGGAATAACAGAATGCCATTATAACTCTGTTATAACTAGTAATTTAGAAATACTAGCAATTATACTTTTAACATGGATTCAGCATTCCACTGGTAATGTTTGCTCAGAGCAAGGGAAGGGAAGGGAAGGGAAGGGTGACAGCAAGTCTGGGCTATGAGGTCAGACAGACTTTGGAACTGAGTCTCAGCTCAACTAATCATAGCCCCACTTAACTCATTAACCTGGACAAGCAGGTAATGTCTTTGAGCTTCACTTTTTTTAAGAAAACCACAAAATATGGGTCATACCCACCTCACAGATTTATGAGAATTAAATAGGACACAATGTAGAAAGCACACAACATCATTCCTGGCGTGTAAAAGATGTTCACTGAATATTCGCTTCCCTCGGTTGTCACATCTGTGAAAAGAGGGTAATAAATCCTCCTTCATGAGGCCAGTGTGGGGATGGAGTGAAATAATTCCCCAAAAGGGCTCACCACTGTCAGTTTTGTCTCTTTGTCCGTTTCCTAGTGTCACACCCCACCCCCACACCAAAGGAGCCTGGTAGAAAGGGCAATTCAGCATATTAGAAAATAACTTGAGAGAGTGGAAGTTTATTTCTTAGGTTAACAAGCTGTTGACTTATCTACTGAATTTATAATTGTTTCTCAGGGGCGAAAAAAAATGACCAGAATTAAGTATTTTTAAAAGACTGGGAACAAGTCACTAGATAATTTCAATATACCTGGAAGGCCTTGTGCAATGAGTGATAGAACTTTGAGACTGTACCAACCTCAATGCATCCCATTCAACCACCTAAGCTTTCCTTTTTTTTTTAAGTCACAGCGTCACTTCAATTGAACTGAAATCAGATGGCATGAGAGCAGTGCAAAGAAAAGGAAAATTTAAAAAGCAGTGGACAAAAACTACTGAGAGGAAAAATAAGTTTTCATACCAATCTGAGTTCTCTTCCAAAAAGATCATCCACACCATCTGTTATTATCTGCTAAATGCTATGAAGTTTCCAAAAAGCCACTTTTTGATAAAACAGGATATAGCAAATGAAGACCGTCCTCCCTAACACCACCGTTCACAAAGTCAGCAGCATGGGCTGGTCTAGCGTCACTCTCTGGCATGGTGTCAGCTTAGAGTCACCTTAGAGTCAGCTTAGAGTCACCTTCACCCAAAGCACGGTGTCGATTACATTTCTAATACAGTTCCCAAAGGAAGGAATGCAGGAAAACTCTCCTCTCATCCTAAGAACTGACATTTATTTATTTATCTTTGGAAAGTTCTTCGGTTAAGGTTGGATTGATTTCAATAGTTAGGTACATAATTTACCCACACAGCTGACTGTGGGAAATCCCCGTTGTTATTGCCCTTTGCGTTTTCAGAACGAGGTGCTCAGAACATGGTACGTTTTTGCATTTGAGAAGTCCAGGAAAAGAGTTTCTTTAATAGGTACCTTTAAGTTGCAGGCACAAAAACAATGAGGGGGAAAACCCGACCAGAATGTCAAAATATCTTTTCCCCTAAAGCACTAATTTCTTATTGCTAAGATTTTTTTTTTTTTCCTGGAGGAAAAGCCTGATTAAAAGTGCATCCAACGTTGGAGAGAACCTTAGACCAGACTGCAAAGGCGCGCCGTGCAGCGGGCGCCGGGGTCCGGCCGCTCACTAGCTGCCCACCTCCTCGGGCTCGCTGCAGGGCGAAGGCGCCGACGAGGCTTTGGACTCGCCATCGCTGTTGCATTCGGGCCTGTGCGGAGGTCCCGCCGGGCTCTCCAGACCCCGCGCGTGGCGCTCCAGCAGCTCCTGGAGGTGCTTGATGTAGCGGATGGCGGCGCGGAGCGTCTCCACTTTGCTGAGGCGCCTGCCCGCCAGCTCCCGGGGCAGGTGGTCTCGGAGGCGCGCGTACCCCTCGTTCACGCAGCGCACCCGCTGCCGCTCGCGCTCGTTGCGCTTGCGGAGGAAGGCGGGCTCCAAGGCGCCGTCCAGCGGCAAGGGCAGGTAGGGCCGTCTCGGGGCGCCGCGTGCGGCATCCAGATGCAAGGAGACCCTGAACGCGTCCCTAAGTGGGACGCGGGTTAGGGTCCCCGGCAGGCCCAGGGGCACCGGGTGGAGGGGGTAGGGCAAGTTCAGCAGTCCGGCCGGTTTGCGTTTCTCCATCATTCGCCGAAAAGCCAACAGATCACCCAAGAGCTTAATCTCTCAGCAGAAAACGAGGCTGCAAATCTTCATTCAGGTCCATTCAGACTGCCTGGCACAGATGGTATGTTTTGGAGAAGTTTCTGGGTCCGGAAGCTAGGTTCCGGAACAGGCTTCAAGGAAAGTTTGCATGATTCCGTGAACTCATTGCACTCCTCAATCTTTTTATAAAGATCCAGACGAAGGTGCTAGGCAAAGATTTGAGATCCCTAATCCACACTTCAAACCCCGTCTTCCTCTCTGATCGTCTTCTTTCAAAAGAAAAAAAAGAGGGAAGGAGGATTGCTCTGCTCTGTCCCTTAGCCTGGAAATGTGAGCGCACACCAAACAGAATAATCTTCCAAGCCACCTAAGCTTTTTCAATTACTGTAATCCACTGATCTGGGTCTTCAAGAGCAGAGGAATCTTAAAGGATTCAGCAGAGGCCCTCCCAGGAACCAAAGCATCTCCGTGGCGGCTGAGCGAAAGATCACCAGAGGCTTTCTCGTTGACAATCAAAACTTGACTGCCTTCTGTGGTTTCCGGCGTCCAGGGCATTATAATGGAAAGGGCTTTTAGACTGTTTGCAAACCTACACTTGCTCTTTCATTTCTGGGGAGGTGGAAGGAAGACCTCATCAAAGGAAAGGCTGCTCCCTTGTGGTTACAAGATGTGTCAAGTCAAGGAGGACCCTAGGGAAGGCTTGAGGGTTTTCTTCTCTGAGGCCGAATCTTTTAAAAACTCAATTAGACTATTTTTTCTTTTTTTGAAGGGAACAGAAAAGAAATATACTTTAGCGATGAATGTAAGGGTCTGCCTATTATACTTCAACTTAACATTTAATGCAGGGCGCTTTATGTATTTGTGCTACTTTTCAGAAGCACATAAAAAGACAGCAGTAACAAACACTTTCAGCCAAAGTTATTTCTCACAGTGCTTACTGTAAACACAGTTTAAACACTGCTTTCCGACCTCTTCTAATCCCACTCAGGATATAAGGACATCATCTGTTCCTACTGTAAAGAGTATATTTCTATTGTATTCTTTTTATCATAAAAAAAATAGATGCAATTTCTTTTCTCCCTTGGGGGCAAGAAAGCAACGTTTGAAAGGTGGAGAACCCCAATTCCAGGGAGAAAGGATGGTGGCTTTGAAGACTTTTCTTTTTAACACACAACCAAAAATGAATAATTAATCCACCCATGTTGGTGAAGGGCTTTGAAGATGAAAGTGTCATTAAAAATCCAACTCTACTGGTTAATGTCAAAGAATGTGTTATCACACTGAAAAATCAGATTTCCTGTTCTGTAAACCAGCACATTAAAGGCAGCTTCTACTTTAAAAGTCCGACTTAAAAACAAGAGAAGCAAAAACCCCCTACATTTACCATCAGACTTTCTGCCTATTCCTCAGGAGCCAAGGTGTCGCCCTAACATGTTTTTTTGACAAGTCCTATGCTTCCCTGTTTATTCTAAATGATCTGCCAGAAGCAACTGGAAAAACACTTCCATCAAGGCAAATAATTATTCCTTTCAGGCATAAGTTAGTCACATTTTGAAAGCTCTAGCTCCCTGTGAGGCTTGTACCTGCAAACAAGCTAATATATCATCTCGATTTCTCAGTAGAGTTAGAACAATCAGGAGAAAGCTCTTTCTATTGGGAGAAATGCACATCAGAGGGGCAGATAGATTAGATCACAGGGTGCTTTGCGACCATGTCCAAGATGCTCACCTTTATTCTAAGAGTAACAGGAAATGAATGAGGTATTTTGAGTAGGGAGGTCATGTAGTGATCAAAACAATTACTACTGCAGTGGAGAATAGATTGGGAGCAAAAGGAAAACAGTTAAAAGAGATCATTTTTCATCCTCAGATTGGCAAAAATTAAAAAGATTGCTAACATCCAGGGCAGGCAAAGATTTGGGGAAGCTGCGGAAGCATAAATTGCTACAAGCTTTTGGGAGAGTAACTATTAAAATTAATAGTGTATATCACATCTCCTTTGACCCAGAGAACCCTATAATTCTGTCCTACCAAAAAGAAATGCACCAGTATGGATCTATATTTACAATAATATTTATTGCAACATTGTTTGTAGTGATTTTTTAAAAATGAAACAGCCTGAATGTCCATCAATAGGAAAAGAACTAATCTTTTAAAATAGCATGCTATTATTAAAAATAACGCATTAGAGCTATACGTAAGAACTTGCAGAAATGTCTATAATGTAAGTGAAAAAGAAGAAATTGCAGAGTAACGTATGCAACTTGAAGTTACACTATTCTTCATAACCTACATGTCTTGCTATGTGTTTGTGCGAGCACAGAGAATGAGGTGGAAAAGCAAATACTAAACTTTTGTCATCGGTTACCTAAAAAAGGTGTCATTGGGGATGAAAGAGGATGTTCATTGTTCTTTATGGATCCCTCTACTGTTTAACTTATTACAAAAAGCACACATTACTTTTATATTTTTTAATACAATGAAGTTTAAAATAATAAAAGACTATATAGAAAATTTAAAGGACACCCCTGATCTGACCCAAACCAACAGCTTTATCATGATTAAAAAGCTCTTGGACCAGTTTTACTGGCTGTTTGTAAATTCTGACTCTGAAAAAATAAATACCTATAGGACTTTGTTCTCCCCCACACTAATACCACAATCTAAAATTGTCAGATCATGATCCTATAGGGGTCTTTTAATGGGGTCCAAGTATGTTATAATGTATCTACATGGCCACAAAAAATGCTGATAATCTTTCTTTTGTTTTTTGAAGGTATAAATGCATTGTAAATACGTGGCTTTTCCAGTAAGAACCATTCTTTTACCCACATATAAAGGGGAGTAAAAAAAAATATATGAGATCAAAAGAGGAAGTTCTGACTCCCAATCACTCTCCGGTTAGTTTTGACCCAAACAAATGTTCTCTCAACCTTTAAAAAGGTCTCTCATAAGACTGGCTAGATCGAGTTTCAAGTAGCTAAACCTCCAAGGTTACTTGGGACTAGGTGTGTATAGTCAGTCCCAAGTAGATCTAGGGAATGCAAAGTCACCAAAAATCAGGTTCAGTAGATTTAAAGGTATCTCTAAGGCCAAAGAAAACATCCATCTCTAAAACTCAAGTCCTTCATCACCTGCTTTGAAATATGTGAGATGAAGAGAATTTGATCAGCTCTTCCTGTGAAATATTTGATATCACATTATCGATTTGGGTTTCCTAGGCTCATGGCACTGAGGTGTTCACACTCGCCTGGCCCCGTATCTGCGATTTGCATCAGCTGTCACAAGTGGGGACAGGGAAACATAAACAGTATTATGACCTCGTGATAGAAATCAGATTTCTCACAGGTGTAGTTCACTAAATCTCAAACTGATTATCTAACAAGATTCTATTCTCTTAGTCCTTTTCTATATAGGTCAGGCATAAACTATCTGTGTTACCAGGTGAAACATCCACCAGGGTCTTCTAAGGTACCACTAAACTTTGAGACTCGCTAAGACTGCTATGCCCACATGTAACATCAGTTTGGAAGGATCTGGGCCTAGAAGGACAATTTGGAGCAGGGCAGAATTAGGCGTTCCACCTCCTTGAGAGTCTATGCAGCAATCATATAGCTGCTCCCCGCTAACCTGTCTGCAGCCAAATGGCAGCTCAGGTGCCAGGAAAGAAGACTTACACCAGGCTTCAGTGGCAGCTGCTCTGACTTAGAAGTCTCATATCCCTTGGGAGTCAATATTTCTTATAACAATCTCACAGGTGTAGCTTCCAGAGACCCACCAGGGTCCAATTAAAGAGTCTTCACACTCTGGGAAGCCCAAAGCTAAGATCTCCCATCAGGTAATTATAGTTTTGCCAGTCCAAATGCAATTTACCAATCAGGTAATTGCTCTAATATAAGTAATTTTGCCTAACGACATAGCTGACAATTCTATCTTTATCAGGTTTCAGAAGAACAGATAACAGAAGGTTAACTGAAGGCCAAATCGCCATGCAGAAGGGTAAAAGTTTTATTAATTCTTTACCCACACCATTACATTTTATTGTAAATATAATATAATTTATAGCAAGATTTAAATAACTGCAAATATTTAGGTACAATTTATCACTGTTTTTTTTTCTGTTCTTCTCAAACACTATGTGCATTTTAACCTTGTCTCTTCAGTCTTTTGTCATATAGAAATGTAAAATTTTGATGTAGTCAAATACATTAATTCTTTCTCTATAGTTTTTTTCATATTTAAGGCTACCTTCTCCAACCATACATTTTATAAGGCCTTTACTCGTCTACGTGGCACCTTGGTGTGAATTAGCAAAAAGCACACAACTCAAGGCTTGGAGAATGGATAGGTGACTCTACTACAATTCATCTGGAAGAACCATTGAGTAAGGATGCCCAAATTTGGAAAAGAAAAGCAAAAAGGTAAGATGAACTTTTAATATCCAGGAGGAAAAAACAAACGGACTTGGGATTCTAACTGGAATTGTGTTAAATGACAGGTTAATTTGAAGAGAATTGACTTATTTTAAAAACAGCAAGTCTCTCTTTTATGAACATAGAAATCATTTACTCAGATCTTCTTTTTTGCCCTTTAATAAAGTTTCACTGTTTTTTTTATGTAGATCTTACATGTTTCTTGTTCTGTTTATCTCAAAATGCTGCTGTGAATGGAATTTGTTCTTATTCTTCAAAGCTATTGATTTATTTCATGTTAATCTTTAATCCAGTCATTTCAGTGATCTCTCTTATTAGTTCTAATGGTTTTTAATTGAGATAAAAATCTACATACAGTTAAAGGCACATATATTAAATATACAATTCAATGAGTTTTGCTAAACGTATACACTTGTGAAACATGCAACTCAAAATAGTTCTAATCATTATTATTAAAGATTTTCTAGGATTTCTTAAACTATAATCATATTATTTACTAATAACGATAGTTTTGTTTCTTCTTTTCTAATATAACTCATTTATTTTTCTTACTGAATTTCACTACCTAAGATCTCCAGTTCAATGCTAATTGTAGTAGTAATAGCTAGCATCCTTGTATTTTTTATGAGAAAGCTAATGTTTCACCATGTAGAAGATATTCTTTATCATATTAAGTAAATTTTCTTCTACTCCTAGTTTGCCAAGAGTATTGTCAGGGA